CGTTCTGGAGAGTTCTGATGAATGGGGTGGCCTGCAGGTTCGTCCAACATGAGCCCAGTGGAGCGTTTATGGGATGTGGTAGAGAGGTCCATTCACACCCAAGATCCTGCCCCTACAAATACCACAGGGCTGTGCGTGGCTGTCCAGACAGCATGGCTCAACATCCCTCCAGATGTCTTCGGTCCACTTTGCGTCAAGGCTAAAGGGAGTCTTACCCAATGCTCGTTCCTGTCCCGATGACTTTTGGCACATCCGTGTATAATTGCTTATGAGTAGTTACAGTGACATGCAACTTTATACTGTCAGGTTTAAAAACGCACTATAATATCTGTTCATAAGAATGTTGTAAACGTGAATGTTGTTATGCACTATGACACCCTATAACAACGTCTGGCATTACAACAGGCGTACATCCAGGTCAACATTTGTTGGGTATAATAATTCCTGGACATGGGTGAAGATCCTGTATGGAGTGAGAGAAGGGGGCTGATTTTGGTGGACCTGGCCTTTTTTAAGATATAACTTTTATATTTAGTGTGAATTTTAGTGCGAGCTTGAGTTTGCTTGTTTTTGGCTAACTGAAAACTGTAATGCTAGGCTAGCTGGCTACAGGTGCCAGGTAGCAACCAAAGCTGGTTAGCTGCTTGTTGATAACAACAGTAATTGGCAACTGCCTTGTTGAAAACTATGTACTATTCATCACACATGTTCAAGCTGTTTATCTCTTACTACCAGTTAGATGCGATTGTCTCACCTCTCCTAAAGCCTGTAAAGAGCACCTATAATGCTTTATAAGGTATTATGTACTGAAATGAAATTTCCATAACATTTAAAAATTCATTCAATGCCTGTAATCATCTGGCAGAATGATCTATAACATTAGTGTCTACAGTACTCTTATGAACAGATATTGTAACCTGAGTTTATGAAGTTATACTCTATGCATATAATTATTACTACTTTAAAGCAATTATTCAAGCTCATGGCCAGCTTTATAAGGTATTAAGCATGCCATAATGCTCTTATAAGGCAGGAATACAGAATTCATAGGAAGTGTTATGGAAAGCCCCTTTAAAAAGCATTATCAGTAGCCCACTATCTGCTGATCTACTCATTGTAATAGACATTTGCATAATGCTTGACAAAACTACAGCCCTACAGTGTTAAAATATTAATTCTCATGCCAACATGTGCTTTCTTTAATTTAAAAAAGCAGCCAAATCCACAATAATGCTCACAGTATTCTAAATTCATTGGCGAACAAAAGAGCAAAATACAGTGTTGCTAAACTTCCCACTTTACCTGAACTCACCCTATTGAAGTTCCTGTACAATGAGAAAAGTGTATTAGCATAAGCTTTTTTAAACTGTCCATTGTGATGGAGAGAAAAAACAGGGTTGATGACGCTGTGAGCAGATGTTAACAGGGTCACTGGCCAAACAATGCTGTTAGAAAAGCACTGTGCTGAATGTATGGACACTACAAGCTGAACTAAAAGCATCTTTGCCATGGACCGTGTTCTTTACACAGCCTCGGCGGAGCTGCATGCCCAGCTGTGCTGAGCGCGCGACCCGTGCCAGCGCCGTGATTGGAGCCTCTGCTCCACGCGCCAAGAATTACAAACGGCCGGAATGCGAGTGCTGGAATGGCCCAGTTTCGCTCGATTCCTCGCAGAGTGACCATAAAAGGCCGAGAAGGACCGTTTCTGTAAAGGCAGCAGGGAAGGAGTAGTTCAGGGCTGTCACTAGTGTACAAAGGCAGCTCAGAAGCAAAGACTGGACTCGGGTGGAGGTGGTTCAGTAGCCTAAAATCCTCCAAAAAGGGTCTTTATTTCAATGAAGTAAAGAAAAAAAAAGCACCTACAAATGTAAAAGTGTTTCAAAAGCTAAAGTACCCTGTAGAACTGTAGTACACCTGCTTAGTAGGCCTATATCCTCCATAAGAGCTGAAATTAGGCACAATTCTTCTTTTTTTGAGGTCATTTTGGTCTAAAACTTTAAACATTTGTGAGCAACAGCAAGCAGTCCAGAAACTGAACCAGCACAACAGAATGAAATTAAAGCCAAAACAGGTTAAATTAAAGGTTGGGCATTGTTCATAAGGCTAAATGACACCGACATAAACAAGCAAATTCCTATAAGCATTGTTTATCATAAAGACGACTTTTGTCAGCTTCAACAGTAGACTGGCTTCACCTGGTGACGCTTTCACGCAACTTTAGTTGCTTGAAACCTGCAGGAAATTTAAATTGCACTTGAGTTGCGTAACATGTCCTGCAAATCGTTTGAAACTCAGCCACAACAGTTGCAATCATCAGTGCATGAAACAAAATGAGCTGCTAATTTGACAAACTAGTGAAGTGACTGAATGTTTTGCTTTTGACTTGCTTTGGGTAACAGTCAAGTTGTGTGGAATACATATATTTCATGCAACTCACAACATGCAACTAGTTGCATGAAAGTTCCAATGGTAATAAACAAACAAACAGCGTTAATTATGTTAGTATGGGCAGAAAGTGCAGTGCATAATAAATAAATAAATAAATAAATAAATAAAATAAATACATCACAGATTAGAAGGCGAGGCATTCTCATTAGTTATGTCCCAATCCATTTTTTACCCTGATCCTGATCCAGTTGTTTTAATATAGAACATCTGCCAATGCAGTATCTAACCCAGTTTTATGTAAGATAAGCTAGGTTGCCAGTTGCTTCCGAATACTACAGATAAAGGGCAATTTCACCAATTTTTAAAATGCCTTGATGATTAAATCATTGGGATGTAAACAAAGTCATTGGTTTGATGTGAAAACGATTCGGTGTGAAGAAGCTTACCTAAATCTAACTCAGATTTCTTTACAGTGGTGGTGATAGGAACCAGGGTTCGCCATGACTACAACATAAATATAGCCATTTTTTTTACCTTGTCCGGCAAATCATTTGAAACTCAGCCACAACAGTTGCAAGCATCTGAACTGATGTCAGCTCTCAAACAAAATGAGCTGCTAATTTGGCTAACTAGTGGAGTAACTGAATATGTTGCTTTTGACTTGCTTTGGGTAACAGTGAAGTTGCATGGAATATTTATACTGCATGCAGCTCACAACATGCAACTAGTTGTATGAAAGTTCCAACCATAGGTGAAATGGCTTAGCAGGTTATAACAACAGACTTTGTATCTTAGTGTATATCACTGTGCCGTAAGGCTGACATAGCTTAGATCTTATAAATGGTAAAATGAAACAATTTGAAATCAAAGCCTTTATGACAAATGATGCCTATAAATAAAGTATTCATACCTGTTTATCTAGGCCTGTTAGTTGTCATGAAGGGCTTTAGTACGTGTCAAGTAGCCTTATGAACCCTGACCTACAGCAAAGTGTTACCAAAGGAATTAAATATCAAGGCCAACATCTCAAAACAATATCAGGCAGCATATTCATAACCATTTTATACAATAGCTTCCTGTGAGGGCCTTTTAGAGGTAGATGTCTGGTTCCTATCACCACCACTGTAAACTATTCTAGCTCTATAAGTTTCTCTAGAACTAAGAACCACTTTGAATGACTTTGTATATGTCTTAACCATTTAATTATGCTGAGAATTTCCTCCCAAGGGTATTAGATGGAGCTCCATCACTCCAGAGAACACAGTTCCACTGCTCCACAGCCCATTGCTGGGGGGCTTTATACCCCTATAGCCAACCCTTGGCACTGGACATGGTGACCTTAGGCTCATGTGCAGCTGCTCCATATTGTCCTATTCTATTGGTCAGTGCTTTTCTATGAAGATTATACAAGCTGAGATCACCCTAAAATAGCTGAATTCACTCACAAGAAGGGCTGTCTGGACACTTTTGGACATACATGAAACATTATTGGACATACTGGATGTGTGTGTTTGATCTTTTATTCAGAATACAAGGTTTTCTGTTTGAACAGCATCTTTTCACTGAGACAATAGCTCCCCCTATGTGCACAAATATGCAAATAACTGTGCTTTGCCCCTCAAAAATATTGCAATTGAACAGTCCACCAGACCAAAGGGGTTATTTTAAGTTACAGGATAACTCAAACATAAATGTTAGCAATTCCACAAATGTCAGAAACTATGACTTTTTAAAATAAATATTCTAAATAAATATTATTAGAAAGACTGTAAAGAGCCACACAGCCAATATTGCTAAGATTTACTAATAAACAAACAGACAGAATTAAATAAGTACAATGGCAATGAATCCCATAAAGCCAAATAATGTTAGTATGGGCAAAAAGTGCAGTGCATCATAAAAATATAAATATATAACATTTATAAAAATACATCACAGATAAGAAAGCAAGGCATTCTTATTAGTTATGTCCCAATCCATTTTTTACCCTGATCCTGATCCAGTTGTTTTAATATAGAACATCTGCCAATGCAGTATCTAACCCAGTTTTATGTAAGATAAGCTAGGTTTCCAGTTGCTTCCGAATACTACAGATAAAGGGCAATTTCACCAATTTTTAAAAATGCCTTGATAATTAGGGATGTTGGGATGTAAACAAAGGCATTGATTTGATGTGAAAGCGATTCAGTGGTGGTGATAAGAACCAGGGGTCGCCATGATTACAACACAGATATAGACATTTTATTTATTATCCAAAACCACCAGTGAACCTACACGAGTCTTCTGAGTTTATATGGAATGTTGATGATGGAAAATAGTGGAAAATCTGAAATAATAAGATAATTTTGCCTTTTAACACCCTGCATGTATGTGTACCTCCACTATGAATGGGTTTTAAGGCCAAAGTCTTCATAAAAATGTCTCAGCTGTCAGGCAGTGAATTCATAACCGTTACATGTGTTAACTTTCTGCGGGAGCTTTTAGAGGTGGATGTCTGGTTCCCATCACCACCACTGTGAACAATTCTGACTCTAGAACAGAGCATTTCACACCAAACCACTGTTTACGTCTCAAATACTGAAATATGCAGAAATTGCGAAGGTCCCTCCTGCTCAGGTTAACATCCTTCTAACCTGCCTGAGCTTGTCCTGTATGAGCTCTTTAAACCTGTCCGTCATAAGGAAGTAGAAGATGGGGTTTACTGCGCTGTGGGCGAAGGCCACTGGCCGCGTCACTATGTACACCGCTTCGATGTAGACTTTGGAGCACAGAGAAAACGTAAGTTCCGAGAGCTGCGATGCTATCCGCACGTTCCTCATCACGTGGAGGGGCGTGTAGAGCACCAGGAACATGATGGCGGCCGCCCTCACGATCTTCAGGGGCTTCTGAAAGGAGGTACCTAACACCTGCTCCTGCATCAGGAGCAGAGAAACCATCTTCAAAGAAGACAGAAACAAGGCCAGAAGAGGTAGCACGTATCCAGTGACGGTGAGCACCAGACTGTAGATCAGAGTGCCTTTGGTCTCAGAGAGGCTTCCAAAGTCATTACACTTGGTCCATTCACTAGACTCCAAGTCCTGTATGATGAAGGCCATGAGTGGTATTACCTGAATGTTGACCCAGACCCAGGTCAGGAGGCTGACAAAGAGGGAGCCCTTGCAGGTCAGCAAGAAATGGTTGCGCAGCGGGTGCCGTATGACCAAGAGGCGATCCACGCTCACCCACACCATGAAGAGGATGCTGGAGTACAGGTTGACGTGGAGGATGTAGCGGTTAACCACACAGAGGGGGGGAATGATCTTGCTCAGGTTGTGGGCGTAGATGTAGGACAGGTGGGGTAAGGTGCACAGGAAGATGAGGTCCGACAGGGCCAGGTTAAACAGGTACACGTTGGTGGACTTCCAAGAAGGGAGGCAGAAGATGTAGCCCAAGATCACCACGAGGTTGCTGACGAAGCCGATGGCAAACTCCACTGCATACATTGGACAGAGGTAGTACTTCCAGAGCTGAGGGATGACATCAGTGCAGTTGGACACCTGTAGTGCATATACAGTTTATCAGTGGACATCTGGGCATCTAATCAATGTGTTTTCTGAATCTAACACCCTGAATGAAGGGCAATGCCACCCATGTTCCCCAAAATTTCAATTGTTCAGCCATTCAGAGTGGTCTGATGTGCTGTTTTTGAGATTACAGTGGTGGTGATAGGAACCAGGGGTCGCCTTGTCCACAACACAAATATAACCATTCTATTCACTATACAAAACCACCAGTGAACCTTCACGTCTTCTGAGTTTTATATGGAATGTTGATGGTGGGAATATAGTGGGAAATCTGAAATTTTTGGGGGACTATTTTGACTCCCAATGCCCTTAAAGTGTGTATTTCTCCACCAAAAAGTACATATTAGGCCAAAGCCTTCTCACAACTATCATACAACAATATCAGGTAGCATATTCATAACCATTTTACGCAACCACTGTCTGTGAGAAAGCTTTTAGAGGTGGACGTCTGGTTCCTAACACCAACACTGTAAACAAGTCTGACTCAGTAAGTTTCTCCAGAATGCAGAACCACTCTGAATGACTTTGTTTACATCTTAACTGTTTAATTATGACTTTTAAAAATGTCATAATTTGTCAAAATGTCAATGTTTAAAAAAGGTGGAATTCCCCTTTAACCCAAAGGCTGCATGATCCTGACTAAATGAGTGAGTTATCATAGCAAGTCACAGGCTGACTCATATGGCCAAAAATAGTACAAAAACTGTCCCTGGTAAACCATACGGGTCATTTTTGTGGGTTACCTTCTCACCCAGCACACACACACACACACACTCATATATATTTATACATATATGTACATATATGTACAACTGCATTTCCAAAGAAGTTGTGACACTGTGCAAAATATAAAAAAAAAACAAAATCGAATGATGTGCAAATCATTTAAACCCTATATGTAATTGAAAATAGTACAAAGACAACATATCAAATGTTGAAACTGAGAAATCTTATTGTTTTTTTTTAAATGTATGCCCATTTTGAAATTGATTCCAACAACACGTTGACGGGGCAACAAGGGGCTGGTAAAGTTGTTTAATGCTAAAAAAACATCTGGTGGTTAATTGGCAACAGGTCAGTTACATGATTGGGTATAAAGAGCATCTCAGAGAGGCTGAGTCTTTCAGAAGTAAAGATGAGGAGGGGTTCACCACTCTGTGAAAGACTGCACAGAATCTGGAGGAATCTCTGTATGTAAGGGACAAGGACAAAAACCAGTGTTTGCTGGCTGTGATCTTTGGGACCTTTCCAGACGACATCTTTTTCAGGGAAGGTCTTGCTTGTTTCATCAAGGCAATGTCAAACCACAACAGCATTGCTCTGTAGTAAAAGAGTCCGGGCACTAAACTGGCCTGCCTGCAGTCCAGACCTGTCACCACATGTGGCACTTATGAAATGAGAAATATGACAAATGAAACCCTGAACTGTTGAGCAGCTGAAATCCTTTATCAAACAAGAATGGAAAACCATTTCACTTTCAAAACTACATCAGTGTCTCCTCAGTTCCCAAACACTTTTAAAGTGTTATTAAAGAAGAGGTGATGAAACACAGCGGTAAACATGCCCCCGTCCCAACTTCTTTGGAATGTGTTGCTGCCATCAAATTCAAAATAGGCATGTATTTTTCAAAAAACAATAAAGTTTCTCAGTTTCAACATTTGACATGTTGTCTTTGCAGTATTGCACATCAATATATATATATATATATATATATGTATATATATATATATATATATATATACATATATATATATATATATCCATATATATATATGTGCGAGACAAGTATCTTGGGTGAGAACTGGGTGAGAAAGGAATTGCAAATATGACTCATGTGGTTTACCAGGGATTATTTTTGTACTATTTTAGCCCATATGAGTCAGCCTGTGACTTGCTATGATAACTCATGTGTGAGTGTATATACATATATATAGTCAAGACCATCAAGTCTATCTGCCTCTGTAAATCTCCACAGTACATTTGAAATGAAGCAGTCAAGATGTGACTGAAGTGCAAATTTCCTGCTTTAATTTAAGGGATTCAACAAAAAGCATTGCAGTAACCGTTTATGCATTACAGACATTTTTTACATAGTCCCCCATAGTTTTACACAAAAGGCTCAAAAATGATCAGACAGTTGACTGATAAGCAGTTTCACAGCCAGGTGTGGCCTGTTCCCTCATTATTTCATGATGAATTAAGGAGATAAAAGGCTGGAGTTGATTTCAAGGTGTTGAATATGTATTTGGTAGCTGTTCAGGGAATTGTCAATATGCTGTCCAAAGAGGCGTTGATGCGAGTGAAGAGGGCCATCCTTAGGCTGAATAAACAAAACAAATCTATTAGAAAGATAGCAGAAACATTAGGATAGGCCAAATCAACAATCTGGAACATTCCTAGAAAGAAGGAGTGCACCGGCGAGCTCACCAAAAGGCCTTGAAGACCACCGATGACAACTAAACTAAACTAAACAACTAAAGTGGATGATTGCAGAATTCTTTTTGTGCCAAAGAAAAACCCAGCATCTTTTACAGCATCTTGTCAAGTCACGGACATTATAGAGGAGATTTTCATATCATTGTCAAAGTCTACAACCAAGAGACACCTTCATGAAATAAAATACAGAGGGTTTACCTTCAGATGCAAACCACTGGTAACACTGAAGAACAGAATGACTTTGCTAGAAAACGTCTAAAAAAGCCTAAAAAGATTTTTTTGGACAGGTCAAACCAAGATTAACTCGTAACACAATGATGGGAAGAGAAGAGTGTGGAGACAACAAAGAAGCGCTCATAATCTAAAGAATACCACATCATCTGTAAAACATGGCGGAGGTAGTGTTGTGGCACAGGCAAGAATGGCTGCCAGTGTAACTGGGTCACTAGTGTTTATTGATGATGTGGCTGCTGATAGAATAAGCAGGATGAATCCTGATGTGTGTAGAGATACTTCAGACAAATGCAGCAAAACCGTTACGATGGCGCCTCACAACACGGATGGACAATGACCCAAAACGTACCACAAAAGCAAGCCAAGAGCTTCTTAAGGCAATTAAATGGAATGTCCTCAAATGACCGAGTCATTCGCCTGACTTCAGCCCAGTTGAGCAAGCTTTTTACTGACTGAAGACAAAACTGAAGGCCGAAAGACACACAAACAAGCAGCAACTGAAGGCAGCTGCAGTAAACGCCTGGTAAAGCATCTCAAAGGAGGAAGGAGAAAGTTCAACAATAATTGATACAAATTATTGGTAATGACCATGACTTCCAGACCTCAGGCCGTCACTGGCTGTAAATTATTTGCATCTTAATAGTAAAAGTAAGACTAATAAAATGATAAAATTGTAATAGATATGCTAATGTTAGGTGGTCCAGTTATGGGAGACTATGTAAAAATGGCTGTATTTCCTAAAAGCATTTCAGGCTGAAGTGTTCCTGTACGTGAAGGTATATTTTACAAAGCTTTTTAAAGCTTGAGTCATTATTCTGAGTCAAAATCTTGTGTCTTGTTTCTTGCACAGCAGCAGAACAAACCACTCAAAAAGTGGTTGCACAACGTAGCAGTCATAGCTGAAGACGTGTGAGAGTGAGAGTATTCATTTTACACCCTAATAAAATAAATAATCAATTGAAAGCACTGTTTTTTATAGATTGTATTAGAAGGATTATCAATAACATAAGCACAAACATAAACATACATACATTACAATTTATGAAGGCTTATTCTAACAAACACATGCTACTTTCGTCAGTTTTACCCCAGAGAGTGTTATAACAGCCTTTATAAATGTTTCTGTTGTCATGAAGGGCTTTTATGGCCTTAATACCAGTGCAGTCCTACAGTAAAGTGTTCCCACATAAAACATCCACACATGCATAACTCATGTAACTGGTTACAAAATGATTAGTATTAATGAAATCATTCACAATACATATTTAAGAGTCTATTTGTAAGTCTTTTATAGACTTTTAAACATTATTTGCAACACAAATGTCATTTATTTATAAGTAATAATACATGAACAATACAATAATGTAGATTATTCATGTTAAAGAACTCACAGGACAAAAAAAAAGTTTATTTTAAGTTGTAAAAGTAAGAAATGTTCATCAAATGGTGAGTTAACAAAATGATAAGAATGCAAAATGATTGAACATTGTAAGCCTAGATGGCTTACTTTTTCAAGTTTAAGACGTATGTATAAGTCATTTATAGATGCTTTTGAAAGCTTATGCAGACAAAAACTGCCATAATTAGGTTTATACCAATTCAAACGTGTACTGGGCTTTAATGCATGAACTGAATTATCCTACATTGATAAATAGAACACATTTAAAAAGAATCCTCCTGAACTGTAAGCTGTAAAGAGTTAATGCTGTAAAGGCAGCAGGAACACAACTTAAATGCCTTTCAGTGGACAAAAGGAGGCATTGATACAAAAAGATCAGGTATCATATATCAGATATGATCAGATTTAACCCCTCTTACCATTGTGCCGGTTGACATTTTTTCTTGTGAAGGCTGCTCGGTGGAGTGAAGCTGCATCCAGCAAAGGACAGCAGTTAATATTACACAGTTCCTTTATTACACTGTGTATTTATGCAAAGCCTTTTTCCCAAGGAAACGTCTAATATAATGACGCAATGATTGCTATCTACCTCTCTCTCCCTCTCTGTTTTTCTGTAACTCTCTCTCTCTCTCTCTCTCTCTCTCTCTCTCCTGCTTATTCTTGTGAGCACTTTAATCTGTGAGTGGGAGGCAGATGTTCAAAGTGATGAGTGGTTAGTGCTGTTGCTATATTGGACAATGTTTACAGAGCGCTAAAAAAATCCCATTCAACTCAATGATAAATCAATCTTATTAGTGCTGAGAATGATCCTCAGATAATACCTGCTCAGTTTCACTTGTAAATCATTACAGAACAATGCAGTAAACTGTAAATGGTTTAAATGAGCATCAAGTTTATTATGTAATTGTACAAGTGCTCAGTATGAACCTCCTCCAGCTGTACGGACAACATCAACGCCATAGTCAAACTCATCCCATACTGGATTGAGCATGTCGGGTGTCGCTGCACTCACGGCTCTTTCAGTGCGATTTTGGAGATCATCCAGTGTTGTGGAACCAACAACGAATGCTCTGAGCTGTTGGAGGTTCACTGCCCACAGAAATCACGCTGCACAGTTATGACAGATTCACTCTTATTGAAGTGGAGAACGCAGAACGCTTTCTGATCAGGGGTCTCATCTCCTCACAGACTGAAGGGAGCCATCATCCACTGACACTCAGAAACTCTATGACCCCCTCTTTCAATTGGATTATGATTGGTTCCTCGGCGCCTCACAGTTGTAAAAATATGGCGCTTTGAAATCGGATGAATCTTTTTGAATCACCCTGTATTTAAGAGAAGCCTCAACCTAAACCTAATATCTAATAGCGAGCTCATCTAAAGGCCCACTTCAGTTTGCCTTTCAACCTGGCATTGAAGTGGACGACCTTCAACCTACCTTCTACACAGAGCTCTTTCTCACCTGGAGAAGCCTGGGAGCACTGTGAGAATCATGTTCTTTGATTTCTCCAGTGCCTTTAATACCATTCAGCCTGGGCTCCTGAGGAACAAGTTAGAGAACACTGGGGTGGATAACCACCAGGACTCTTGGACTACCTCACCAACCGACCACAGCATGTGAGGACACGGGACAGTGTGTCTGACATGGTGGTCAGTAGCACAGGGGAACAGTCCAGGCACCGTTCCTTATCACCCTGTAGACTGCAGACTTCATATACAGCTCACCAAACTGCCATCTACAAAAGTTCTCTGATGACTCAGCAATCGTCCATGATAAGGACAACGAAGAGTACAGACCCAGGACTTTCTGGACTGGTGTCTGATGGTGGTGGCTTTCCACAGGCGCAGTCACCTCCCTCCACCACTGACCATCCAGGGAACAGACATTGAGAGAGTGGACTCAATAGACTGGACTGGTCAGATAACATTAGTGCACTTTATAGGAAAGGCCAGAGCAGACTCGACTCTACCTGCCCAAGAGACTGAGATCATTTGGAGTGCAGGGGGTGCTCCTGAGGACCTTCTTCGACACCATTGTGGCATCAGCTATCTTTTATGGAGTGGTCTGCTGGGGTAGCAGCATCTCAACTGTGGACAGGAAGAGGCTTGACAGACTCATTAAGTGGGCCAGCTCTGTCCTGGGAAGCCCCCTAGACACAGTGCAGATGGTTGGAGACAGGAGGATGTTAGCCAGACTACCGTCCATGCTGAAGAACTCTGGCAGCACTGGGCAGCAAGCGTGTGAAGGAGGCTATCGCAGGTTCTTCCTTCCTGCTGCTGTTAGACTGTACAACCAGCACTGCTCCCAATAGAACCTCCTCCACCCTCCATTCGACCTCACACTCCTACTGAACATACACTGTGAATTTATCACTGTATATGTCTATACAGTTCTATATACTGTAGTACTGTGAATTGCCTCGTTGTGGGATTAATAAAGGATTCTTATCAGCTGTGTGAGAGTCAGTGAGTCACTCTTTTCCTTTATTCCAGCTTCCATTCTATTCAGGAGACTCACTTTCAGTTCCTCAAAGAATCTGCAGACACACTTCCAAAGTTCAGTCTTAGAAGCTGGTTGATCATTTTCTGAATAATCAAACACATTCAGTGGTATTGAGGTCTGGACTCTGGGGTGGTCAGTCCATTGTCCAGCTTCTTTGTTTGATGTGTCCGTCTCCTTTTCTCAGTGAGGTTCTTCTTGAACAGCTACGCATCCTTTCACACCCATAGCGCTGAGTTGTCTTCTCACAGTGGAAGGATGGACAGAAACACCTGTGGATGTTTTCAGATCTGAAGCAGCTTGATTTTCTCCTCTCTCTCAAGATGAAAGCTTTAAGTGCTGTTTATCTGATGGGGGCAGTTTTGGTGTCTACCAGGTCTTCCAGGTGGTTGTTAGGAGCCTCATTTTCTCTGTAGCTTTTAATCAGTTTTTGAACTCCAGTTATGGAAACTCACTTATTTTCTTTTGAGTTTCACTTTCCTTATGTCAGTGGATTATCTTATATCTGATCTCTTCACAAATATATCCTTTAGCCAATTTAGATGCTCATGAGAGAAAAGTGTGTGAGGCAGCTGAGGTGAGTTTTGGTAGGTGTTTTGAAACAGCCAGCAGAAAGTTGTCCAATCAGAATTGTTCTCTCTGTGGTATCTATGATAATGTCTGTTACAAGCTTCAGATAAAACATATGGAATGTCATTTACAGGCTTCAAATGTCCATGTTTAATCTAGAAAGGCCAAAAAAAATTCTTATCATGAATCATCTTTAGCTTAGTACTAACATACCATCAAAAATCCCACAGGGGTGCTGGCAGAAATTAGCCTTACTATAAAGGTGGGTTTTGAAGGCCTTGCTCTAACAGCCACCGTTCACCACTGATGGGAATACATCAATACTTTTGTTTTCCTGTCAACTGTTGCCACATCAAACTGTATTAACTTCTAGATAAATAGGGATGTGGTCTTACACAGATGTCACATGATATAAAAGAATAGGTGGTGTAACCCGGCAACTGCTGGGTCAGTTGTTGCCACATCTATCTGTATTGCACATAGAAGGCTTCTAGATAAACAGGGATGTGGTGACGTTGTATGAGACAAACAAATAGGTGGTGTAACTCAGACAGCAAGATTGAAAGGCAAGTAATTAGACCTCCATGTCCTGACTGGTTGAATGTTGGTGGTCCACATTATTTGTACTTCTCCCGTTTACACATTTAGCCACAGAAACCATTTCTTTCCTCTGAGTATACCAGACCTGCCAAAATGGGAAAATTCCGCCAAATATTAAAAAAAAAAACTTCACCTGCAAAGACTTATCTGAAGTAAAATAGTCTTTGGGCAAGATACACATTGTACTTTGCATCTGGTCAAGCTTTAAAATGTGGTTCTTTATTTGACTGCCCTTTGTTTCTCTTTTTTAGAGCTCTACTCATAAATCCTAGACGAACACCACCTTTCACTGTAAGGAAGGAAACTGACTTAGCTTTTCTAAGTATCGGAGGAAAAGGGGATTTCTGTAATCTTTGTGTCTTTTCACACATGATCTGACACACTCAATGTATAATAAGTAGGAAGGATGACCTGATCCAGATAGTGTGTTCTGTTCTGCGTTTGATGTATCTGCTATGGCCTCCCTCAAGTGTACAACCTGTTTTGTTGTTGTTTTTGTTTGCGTCCAGGGAGATACTTCTGAGGAGACTAGATATAAGATAATCCACTTGCATAAAGAAGAAAGTTGAAGGAAAATAAGTGAAGTTTCCAAAACTGCAGTTCAAAAATTGATTACGCTTTCTGTTAAGTATGTTTTCCTGCTTTCTCCTGACACTGAAAAATGAATCATTTTTACAACCCTGTTTCCAAAAAAGTTGGGATGCTGTGCAAAATGTAAATAAAAACAAAATGCATTGACATGCAAACCATTTAAACCCTACATTTATTGAAAATCATACCAAGACAACAAATCAAATGTTGAAACTGAGAAATTTGATTGTTTCTTGAAAAATATACGCCCATTTTGAATTTGATGCCAACAACAAGTTTCAAAAAAGCTTGGACGGGGCATGTTTACCACTGTGTTTCATCACCTCTTCTTTAAACAACACTCTAAGTTTTTGGGAACTGAGGAGACACCGCTGTAGTTTACAAAGTGAAATGTTTTCAGCTGCTCAACAGTTCAGGGTCTCATTTGTCATGTTTTTCATTTCATAATGCGCCAAATGTTTTCAGTGGATGACAGTCTGGACTGCAGGCAGGTCAGTTTAGCACCCAGACTCTTTTAATACGGAGCAATGCTGTTGTAGAATGTGATTTTTTGGGATTTGTTCGAGAATCCCATTCATTCTGGCCACAGAGAAATTGAGCTTAGACCTAGACTTCCTAATATGGGGATATCATGAACTACAGAATGACGCACGACTTCAGCGGCCTATGGTGAGCAGACAGAGCCCATTGTTTTGAAGTAAATGTGTCCCAAAGTGTGAAAATCAGGGGAAAATCTAGAAATTTCATTACCAGAACACATATTTTCTGCAATTAAGTTCTTTTCAAAATATGCTTAAATTGTCATTACAAAAACAGTTAAGACTAAAAAATTTGGTAAACTTTAAAAGTGTTATAATTGTGAGCACTTAATAATCTGATCATCATCAGATTTCTGCAATTATCTGATTATTAATCATGTACACAGCACACTGATTTCTTAGATAAGATTAAGGTCTATAAATCTGATAAGGAGGCTGGATTTGAGCTCAGTAATGGGGTTTCTCAGTGTATGTAAACTCTCACTCTGATTTCTTTCATTTCTCTCAGTCTGAGTATGTGTGAAAACAAAGCGCTGTCCCGGAAACAGCGAGCAGCGTTTAACACCCGCGAGACAAGCACAGCACTTTTGGAGCGACGCTGAAACTGACATGCTTGATGAAATGAGGGATTTAAATATTCTTCATCTTCTAGATGACGTATGTTCATATTTTCAGCTACAGTGACTCAGCATGACGTTTGAGTCTTACGTTTTGTTTATATCGTCTTATTCTGTGAGTTTATTGGCTGGTTGCAAAGGCAGAAATGTGATTACTGTCTGACTCATGTAGACCTGGAGTTTCTCCATTATCTGATTACCCAAGAGCATGAAAACACACTGAATCAATTACTGACACAATCTGATTTTCTGCAGTTATCTGATTATTAAGTGTAAACACACTGAACCGGTTACTGACGCAATCTGATTTTCTGCAGTTATCTGATTATTAAGTGTAAACACACTGAAACAGTTACTGACACAATCTGATTTTCTGCAGTTATCAGATTATTAAGTGTAAACACACTAAACCCGTTACTGACACAATCCGATTTTGTGCAGTTATCTGATTATTAAGTGAAAACACGCTAAACCAGTTACTGACACAATCTGATTTTTTGCAGTTATCAGATTATTAAGTGTAAACACACTGAACCAGTTACTGATACAGTCTGATTTTCTGCAGTTATCGGATTATTAAGTGTAAACACACCGATCCAGTTACTGATACAGTCTGATTTTCTGCGGTTATCGGATTATTAAGTGTAAACACACCGATCCAGTTACTGATACAGTCTGATTTTCTGCGGTTATCGGATTATTAAGTGCATGTAAACACACTGCCTGTTTTGATAGTGATGAAACGGAATGTTAAATGATTTGTTCTAAAATAAAATAAACATAATTTAATGTATGGGGTCATTCAGAGCAAAAAGATTTTGGTCAAAAGTCTGAGTTAGTTAAACCTTGACGGAATCAGATTAAACCAAAACTTCATTGATCACACACAGCCATACACAGTTTAACATGCAGTAAAATGCTTACGACTGCCCACTGCCATGAAAAACAGAATATACAATAGATAACAGAATATAAAGGAAAGGGAAGAGTATAAAATATAAAAGGCATATAAAATAATACAGTTGAACGAAGAAATCATATTAACTTTTTTTTAAATACAACTTATGACTGTTCTGATATAAAATTTGAAGTAGATGGCAAAGTAGAGTCAGCATGTCGCAACACATCAGCATTTCCCCTTTCACTTTAAAAATGCACTGACATGCCTGAGTGAGTCGATCCAGTTGAACCGATTCATAATTCCAGTTAAGTCAAACTGTTTTTGTAGTGTCTGTGCATTGTTTACGTTCATGCAGACTGAACTATTAATTAAAATGAATCACAGCTATTCTGAATCTGTCAATTGGTTGATTTGTCTTGTGAACCAACGAGAGTTTGATTCCTCCAAACGGACAGTTCAAAAGAATCGGTTCGGTGGCGGAATCTGACCTCTCATCAGTCGTGCAGGAGCGGGGCGCCCTCTGCTGGCAGCACCGCGCGGTAGCACCGTTAACCCTTTCCTTTTCAGCACACACAGTCCTGTGCAGCGGAAGATGGCGACTAGAGTCCTTCATCGCCGTTTCAGCGGCCTTAATGAGGCTAAAAACTGGACCAGGACCAAAGGACAGGTGGCCACCTTTATCAGGTGTGGGATTTTATCTGCAGTAGCTGTGCTGTGAGTGTAAACGCGACGCTGCGGCGGTAACTAAAGGTAGAACAGGCCCCGCTCAATCCACCCAGTCTGCTGGTGGATACAAGTTTGACTGTTTAGTATTTAATCTAGCTGTGTGTCAAACGTGAAGTGCATGTGTCTGTTAAGGCTGGTGTGAGCAGAGCTCACTGAGAGGTGATTAGACTCATTCTCTCCCACAGTGGACTGACCAAGGTCATACACAACTGAAAATTTCCTGTATATCACTGTACTGTGATGTTAACAGTGATTCTGACGGGCAGTTTGTCCATATAAAGCCTGACTGTCATCTCCATTTACTCTGCTCATTTAATCCTGCATTCAGAGAATAAACAAGAAAGCTGCTCTATGCTGAGACTGTAATATTGACTAAAATAATAAAACTAGGCAGTTGTTGTCAATGTTTTATACACAAACATGCATGTTAAAACTTTAGTTTAACATTCTCTGCAGGGAACAAACTTAAATGTGACAATTTTCTGCAAACTGTATTGCACAAGTTGCATTGATGTATGTATGTTGAATGTATTGGGAAATATTAAACATGAAATATAAAATGTGCCATAACTTTTGCACAGGCAACGTTTTATGTTTTATTTATTTCTCCCAAATATTTTAGGTTCAGCACATCCGTAGTTGTGCATTAAAATCTGCAGAAGTATGTTCTCTGTAGAGGATTATTTTTCACATAGAAAACTGTCACAACGTAATTTGACCAGGGGTGCCTAAACTTTCGCATGTGTATTTCTGTAAGTTAAAATATAACAAGGTATGCATAATACTATGCTTTAAATTGTGTGCATACATGCATACATCCAGTAATTACATAGGAGCTTTGTGTGTGCGTGTGTATATGTGTGTGTGTGTGTATGTATATATATATATTTGGGTATATCACTATATATTTTATTATTATTATTACATGTGCTTTGTGCATGTGTGTGTATATTATATATATATATATATACATATATGTCGCTGTTGTTGGAAGAAAACCTCGCATCTCCAAAATGGTAACTTTACAGGAGAAGGAAAAAACCTACTTTACTTTTAATGTAAGTCAGTGGAACCAGAATTTTGTCCAAGTCATTTTGGGCCGTTTCTTTTGGTTCATTCGAAATTTACACACGATGTAAACATGCATTTTCAAATTATGGATATATATATATATATATATATATATATAATATATATATATAATATATATATGTACACATATATGGAGGTTTTGACCATTATATAAAAACCATTCATTTTCATACCTGTTATCAATTTTTTATGGCTTTCTTATTGTGACAGGGCTTTGAAATTTAAATATATTCTTTTGTTTCACTAAGAAAAACTGAAAAGAGAAGTTTTTCAAGTGGTTTTGTTGGTAAACTTGCATTTATGTGCATGAGACTTAGCTCCAATAATAACTACATTAATAATATACATGTGTCTTTATAACAGTAGAACAGGACAAGTTCATATAACTAAACAAAGTCAGAATAAATCATCTCAGTCATAAGCTTGAAGACATCTTGTATTACATGTTTAGATTGATGACAGTGCCGGAGAAGATGAGGCACAGTTTACTGCATGTTTCAGGCAAATTACATCCTGACATGTAGTCAGAAAATGACGGTACACATCACACATTATATGAATCGAGTAGACATAGCACAGTGATAGCGTCGTTCCCAGAAATCTAATGCCTGTGCCCTCCCATTTCAGGGGCTTACCAGCATCTAACCGGAATCGTGAAGAGAGCTGGTTTAAGTCTCTGTTCGTGCGCAAAGTGGACCCGAGAAAGGACGCCCACTCCCACCTGCTAGCCAAGAAAGAGGAGAGCAACCTCTATAAAATCCAGTGTAAGTAATGGTGATGAGTGTTTAGGCCACATGCTTCTCTACTTACATCGGCTATTGACTTTACATTGGGTGTTAAAGGGGAATTCCACTGATTTTTAAAAAATCCTGCATAATTGAATGGTTAAGATGTAAACAGAGTCGTTCAGAGTGGTTTAGTGTGAAACACTCTGTTCTAGAGAAACTTACCGACTCAGAATTGTTCACAGTGGTGGTGATAGGAACCAGACATCCACCTCTAAAAGCTCCCTCACAGAAAGTTATTACATGAAATGGTTATGAATTCACTGCCACACTGTTTTATGATAGTTTTGAGAAGATTTTGGCCTTAAAATCCATTCATGGTGGAGGGATACATAATATGCAGGGTGTTGTGAGGCAAAATAGTCCCCAAAGAAAACTTAATTATTTCAGATTTTTCACTATTTTCCATCATCGACATTCCATATAAACTCAGAAGACTCGTGTAGGTTCACTGGTGGTTTTGGATAGTAAATAAAATGTCTAGATTTGTGTTGTAGTCATGGGCACTCTATTAAAGGGGGATTTTGAAAAATTTAGTGGAATTCCCCTTTGAATAGTAATTAATAACTAGTGGTGCTTTCATTTCAGTTCATAACGTGAAGCCTGAATGTCTGGATGCCTACAACAAGCTCTGGTAAGGACACATTCGCTGTTAAGCGCTATTGGTGATTAATTACACTCCAATTGTCTGCTTTCAGTTTCTTAATCAGGAACTGCTGTGAGACCTGAAGCCTGCACTGATTTGCTGGCTGTTTTCTCTGAGGTGCATCCAAAGTGTCCTCAGTTCTATTTCTGGAAGGTGATTGGCAGAAACCGGGCCATAACATCTGCTGAGCTCCATTCCTGAAGTGCCTGCCCTCTATATGTTGAGCTCAAAGCTCCTCCCATTCACACAGTGAATGCTTTTCCTCTTTTAACCTGCTATTCAAAGTTTTCTGTATTTCTAATTTTATACTAATGGTAAAATCTTATCCTCTGTTCATTTTGCTCTTGTGTTATTGTTTTCTATCCTGTGTCAACCAGAGGAGGATGGGTTCCCCTTTTGAGTCTTGGTTCCTCTCAAGGTTTCTTCCTTGAGAGGAACATGGTGGATCATTCTCAGCACTGCAGTAACACTGATGTGGTGGTGGTGTGTTAGTGTGTGTTGTGCTGGTACGAGTGGATCAGACACAGCCGTTCTGCTGGAGTTTTTAAACACTGTGTCCACTCACTGTCCACTCTATTAGACACTCCTACACTGTCAGTCCACCTTGCAGATGTAAAGTCAGAGACGATAGCTCATCTGCTGCTGCACAGTTTGTGTTGATCATCCTCTAGTCCTTCATCAGTGGTCACAGGATGCTGCCCACAGGCTGCTGTTGGCTGGATATTTTTGGTTGGTGGACTATTCTCAGTCCAGCAGTGACACTGAGGTGTCAATATAGTAAGTGGAGCTGATAAAATGGACAATGAGCATAGAAACAAGGAGGTGGTCATAATGTTATGTCTGATCGGTGTAAGTAAATAAATCAATAAATAAACCTTGAATAATAAATAATAATAGGCTTAAATCATATTCTGTGTCTCAGAAATGACTATTTTATAGGAGAAAGAAAAAAGCATCCATAAACTTAAAGTTACCCTGAAACCAGAACTGAACTTTTTTATGCTCATATTCAGCAAGATTCATCAAATCATATCATTTAGAACAATAAATTCTTGTCTACCATCAAAATGTACTAATAATAAATGTAATTATATAGGACCTTTCACACATTGAAATGCAGCTCAAAGTGCTTTACATAAAACATATGGAGAAGACAGATATTTGCTAAAATAAATAAATAATTAATTAATTCAAATTCATTTAAAAAATGTTGTGACTTTTTCCCCGTCCCTGCAGCAATTTCTGATTTTTTTCCCATGGCGTCACTGTGCACCAGTGGGAAGGGAGAAATAATATTAACCAACAATATCATGTTTCACCAATCAGGGAGAGTAAACGCTCAGCTAGCTCACAATTACATCACAGTACAGAAGGAGAACGAGTTATAATTTTCCCATTATGCTGATTTTAAAGGGTCCATATCATGGAAAACTGCAATTTTTCATATAATATATGTAAGCATTGTTACACTTTGAAAGTGTACCGTTCACTCAGTACCCAGTACACACAGTCCACATGTGCTGACTAAGCAGCCCATTTTAAATTCGCTGTATTTGTGATGTCACACAAACCAATTTTGCATATTTGCACGTATTCGCATGTTCAGCTTACTGCAGTTTAATCCTGCCCATTCACACTGAAGTTACAAGAAGTGTTTCAGGCTGGACTGCTTTTTGGATGAAGCAGCCAATCAGAAGAGAGCTCATTTACATACATCAGTCTTAAAGGCACAGTAGCAAAAAATCTAAGGGATTAAGAGAGGCTGGAAAATGATCGTGGAGAAATGAATTATGGCTTTTTTGGTGCATAAAATCACACAAATGTCAACGTCAAATGTCAAATTGGCTTTTTAATGTGTATAAATGTATTGAGATTTTCTTCAAGTAATTCCATTTTTTCATATTGTGTAAACAAAAAATAAAACATTTATTAAATTTATTTTATATATAAATGTATTTATTTATTTTAAAAAATGTTTTAAAGAGTGAATAACAGTTATTTTATTAACAGTGAGGATGTGCTGCCTTCAATCCATGCTGATAAATACTACCCCTGTGAACTGGTGGGCACGTGGAACACCTGGTATGGAGAGCAGGACCAGGCTGGTAGGACCTTGCTGTAAAACACTCACTCTGTCAGCTCCTGTTTAGACAGATATGATCTATAGAAGCTCCTCCACTGTAGTTTTTACTCTCACTTCAATCATACAGGACTGTATTTCCAGCTCAGCCAGTTCTGTGCACACTGCACAGCCTGAGTTCTTTGTCCTGTGGAGTTTCTGTAGGTTATCAGGTCCCAGCAGTGCTGCTGTATTCCTGACAGTAATATTAATGGAATGTGATCTTAAAAATACAGTTTTGACTCTGTTTACATGTCTGGCTTTACATGGTGAAACTTTCATGCAACTAGTTGCATGTTGTGAGTTGCCTGCAGCATAATTTCTGTGCAACTTGACAGTAATACAACACTCTGAAACAATCACGCAACACACTCAGACTGTCTTTTTTTCCAGCTCTCATTGCCATTTTTCCTTATATCTGTATATTATGTCTGTCTTTTGTCTGACTATCTGGTTCTTTACTATATATTTGTCTGTTTTTATAGTTTTATCTGTTGTTTGTATGATAACCCTGGTAGGAAAAACATCTTAAACCAGTATGGCTGGTCACCAGCAAAACCTTCTTATCATCGCTGCCCAAACAAAAACTTCATTGTTCATTGTTTTTTCATTTTCTGCAGAATTTTATGAATGGACCAATAGAAACACTCCAAAAACAGCTAAGAATAAAATCTCTTTACATTGAAAGTAAAGAAGGTTTTGCCCTCTTTTGTAAAGTTGCCATTTGAGATGCTTGTTTTTCTTTGGACAGCGACGATATGTTGTGCTTTGGATGCTGGTATGCTGGTCAACCTGTATGACCATGCTGGGTGACCAGCGTAAACCAGCATAGACCAGCTTAGACCAGCATGGAAATCATGCTCATCTGTGCTGTTTATTTCAGCAGGAAAGTCTTTGAAAATGTTTTGGTAGCCCACAAAAGCACTACAAGTTCGGAGCATCTCGGTCTCCTGCACTGTAATAAAGTTCATCATTTGGATCCCAAATGAATCTCTGTGCTATGCAGAATAACATGCACAGTAACGGCAAGATGAAGAAAAATAAACAGTGGTGTAGTCAGTCATTTAAACAGCTGTTAGGGTTAACTGGCTAGTTAACGCAGCTGTTTCCAGAAACGAGAAACTCACATTTATTGGCAAGTATCAGAAAATTAACAAAAAAAAAGTATTTTTTTATTACATTATAATTAATTAATAAAATAAATTAATGATCAACTTTGTGTCAGTTTGGGGGGGGTGCTCTTATTTTCCTGTCCTTTGGTCTCCTGAAATCAATGAGTTTAGAAGTGTCATTCAGTGTGATCACATGACACGTTGTTGCTGTTTTGATTGGCCGTTTCATGAAACCTGTTGCGACCGAGTTTCAAACAAGTTGCAATACTCTAATTTAGTTTCATGTTGGTTTCAAGCAACAACAGTTACATAAAAGTTTTACCATATAAAGCCAGCCTAAGAGCTAATGCAGAAATGCTAACTGATTAGCCTCTGTCTCTGTGCACAGTGCATCTCTGGAGGTACAGGGGAGGGTACCCGGCCCTGACCGAAGTCATGAATAAGCTGAAAAATAATAAGGTAGAAAATATCTTGTTTGTTATGGATTTCACAAAGTCAAATAAACAGGTGACACTGAAGTTTAGTTTAGACTGAACTATCAGGTTAACTGCACCCAGTGACGGTAAAACAAAAGTGATTTATTTACAAAAAATCATTTTCATTTTCGTACAAAATTTTCATTTATTGATTTGTTTGACGCAATACAAACAGAATACAAGGAGTTGCTATTGTAATTTTTTTATATTGTACAAGGAGATATAAATTATTTATATTGTACAGGGAGATTCACTCGAAAGAGGCCCTGAATATTCTGCTGTAACTCCCGTTAGGACGAAGCAATCTGAACCAAAAAAATCCGCTACATACCTTGATGTATGTGTAATCGATTGCATTACATGCGATGCTGAAAGTGATCTCAGTTTTCTGCCAGACACATGAAGGGGTATGGGGGTATGCACCCAGAAGTTGCAAACGGAGGTTAAACTACCTCATCACTCCGACGCAGGGGGATCCCGGCTTGTACGAAGCTCCATATACTGAGGAGCTCATTGTTTTGTTCTGATTGCTTCGTCCTAGAGAGAGTAATTACAGAATATTCGGGGCCTCTTTCAAGTGAACCTCCCTGTACAAAATTATGTACGCATGTTTCCATCGCCCAGTCTTTAAAGGAACAGTTCAACCATTCCTAATTTAAATGGAAGCGAGTGGTCACCACTTGGCATTGTACAAATAAAGCATGCTAACAAGCTTTCACGTTGTTAGCCACGTTAGCACTTTTAGCTGAACTGTATCTACCGTATTTCTGTGCCCCATGATGTATTGAGTGGCTTGTGGACAGAAATTCCTCTGAAGTGTAAATCTAACATGATAGAAATGTGGGAAAAAATAATAAAGTAAATAATGTTTTTTGTTGGGATGATCTTGATTACTTTTATCGGTAGTGTTTGTAATCGATCTGTCAAAAACCCTGAACCTGTTAGGGAACTGCTTTAATCAGAGGATTATTAGCCTACATTGATTATTCACGCTAATGAAGTCATTTCATTTCAGCTTTTTAATTTTGTTCACACTCACAATGAAAGTACATAAAACCACAAAGCAATTCCATTTCATGGCAGTGTTTCATGTAGATGGCTGGTAATTCGCTAGTGCTTTGATAATGCTATGCTAAAGGTACATAGCGCCAAGCTAGCCGGGTCAGCATGGTGTTGGATTTTAATGTCAGCTCTGGTTTAAATAAAGACATTTTAAGCTCGTAACAGACATGTTAGTAACTCGTGTCTCAGTTTTAACTCCTTCTGAAGGCCTGAACCCGAAGTCTGTCTTTTATTGTTGTAGCGTTAGCCTGTTAACCACTTAGCTTTCTGCTGACCTGCTCTAGTGAGGGCATAAAGTTATAAAGAGAATATGAAGTGTAAACCAGTTAAAGAAAGTCAGTTAGGAGGAAACGGAATTTTCTTTTTTTTTTTGCCGTATTTTCAGCTTCACTCGACTGAACTGACAGCCACAAAACTGCCCACTCGCCCAGAAATGCCACAGAGACACTTAACAAGATATGAAACATAACTTATAAAGTCAGCACACATTCCTTAACTTAGCTAAAGGAGTAATAAGTTCCCTAACCTGATATTTCAAGCATAATTTCGAAATACAGGTCTCACGTTGAAAATAAGGGGAATACGCTCAGTAACTGCTCAGGTTTAGTACCTGTGCTTGAGTTGGGTTCTGATTTTAGTGTCCCGTTACAGGAATTTATGGAGTACAGGAAGGAACGAGGGAAGATGCTGCTCTCTCGGCGCAATCAGCTTCTGCTGGAGTTTAGCTTCTGGAACGAGCCGGTTCCACGACAAGGACCAAACGTCTACGAACTGAGATCTTACCAGTTAAGAGTGAGTACTCCCTTCCATTCAGCTCACACTCTGCCTCTCTACTCAGGGCATGAGTCCTGGACATGTGGGGCAGAGCCAGCTGTACCTAATAAGCGACCTAAACGTCTACTTAGGCCCCCACAGCCACCAGGGGCCCCCCTCATATCTTTTAGGCAATTACTGTAAGTTACCATTATGTTGTCTAAAGCTCTATTGGAGCTGGATTAGTTGAATCTGGGGAGATGCTGTAATTTGAGTGATTACCGACAAGATCTGTGATTTTAATTCAGAACAAATCTGCTGTGTCTGCAAAGTTTTTGCACATCCGCTAAGTCATAATTCCGGAGTAAATTACCTTCTGTAATTGGCTGAACTCAGAGCTCCCTCAGTAATAGCAATCCTGTTCTATCAAGTAATTATCAAGTGAATGACAAGACTACGGAAATCTAGTTCTGTATATGTTCCCTCATCATTTGGAACTGCTGGTGCCCCCCCCCCACCAAAAATAAAACAGATTCTTTATCCTGTTTGAATTGGGCAGTGAAATCACACACAGACTACATTATCAGACCACCTCTGGTAAAACCGATCCATCACCATGGTGACCATGCCCAGTGCCAAGCGTATGCTAGAGGGGTATAAAGCCCCCCAGCATTGGGCTGTGGAGCAGTGGAACTGTGTTCTCTGGAGTGATGGAGCTCCATCCAGTACCTTTGGGATGAGTTGGAGTGATCCAGAACTGACCATCCAACATCAGTACCTGACCTCACTAATGCTCAATCAAATCCTCACAGCAATGTTCCAAGATCTAGTGTAAAGCCTTCCCAGAAGAGTAGAGGCTGTTACTGCAGCAGAGGGTGGACAAACTCGTACCATCGGAAAGAAAAACAGATTCTTGCTTCAGATCTAATAATAATTCCTGTTTATTGATGTGATAGATCAGAGGTGATGGCCTATTATAGGCTTTAAAACTGGAAGACTTGACAGCTCTATTGTCTCCATTACTATGGCATTTGTTTTTATCTCTGTGATCCACCCTCGGCTTTGCTGTACCTAATAACTAGCATTCCAGTCATTGTATGCATTGGGTTTGTATTGCACAAGGCAGCGTGCCAGCTGTTATGATTTGGGGGTTGGGGGGGTCTAAATGACCTTAAAGCTCCTGAATGTCTGTCTGTTTATGATCTTAGATCTGCAGAAACTGACCTTCTGAACACCTTCAGTAAAATACCGAAAACGTGGAGAGACTCTTTCAGTTATTCTGCTTCTAAACTGTGGAGCTCAGTTCACCTTTTATTAGACAGTCGAGCTCAGAGCTCACTTTTAATAAGCATCTGAAAACGCAGCTCTTTAACTCAGCGCTTCAGTAAAACTCTACGGCTCTTTGGTGTCTTTAATCCGATCTGTTATTGTCTCATATGATTTTAAATTAATACTCATAGTTTCTTCTATTACTTTTAAGCTTTATCACCTGTCCGTAAAGCACTCTGAGCTGCCACCGCTATGAAAAGTTCTCTATAAGTAAAGATATTATTGTTATTATTATTAATGAGAATATCGTCAGTACCTTAAAACACTTTCCAACTGCATGTTTTATTACAAATAAAGCATAATTAGTTTAACTGGATTTACTAGAGGCCACTGAAATGCAGTGCATTGAATTTTTTTAATATGCCACTATTTTTGTCTTTTCAGATGTCAGATAATATGTATATCCTGACATGTTCTGTATTGTGAAAACGTACTGAAGTATTTTGATATTGCATTTTTGCCATAGTGCCCATCTCTGGTATCTACTCTGTATAACATCATGTAATCTATTTTTTGCAGCCGGGGACGATGATTGAGTGGGGTAATTACTGGTAAGACAGCCTGTGTATCATTTCTCTGATGTTTTTGTTGTTCCTGTTCCTCATTTAACTTTGTGTATTTGATCAAATAGCTGTTCAGAAATGTTACTGGAAGAATTTGGTTCATTCGTGTGGAATCACTGCAGCACCTTCAGCTCACTGACGTGCTGTGTCTTGTTCAGGGCTCGTGCTATTCGCTATCGGCAGCATAATCGTGAGGCGGTCGGAGGATTCTTCTCTCAGATAGGGAAACTTTACATGGTCCATCACCTCTGGGGTAAGACGTTCTTAAAGGGGAATTCCAACAATTTTTCGAAATCCCCCCATAATTCAGTGTGTGAGATGTAAACAGAGCGATTCAGAGTGGTTTGGTGTGAAATGGTTCAGATGTCTTTACAGTGGTGGTGATAGGAACCAGGGGTCGCCATGACTACAACACAAATATAGCCATTTTATTTACTATCCAAAATCAAGTGAACCTACACTTCTGAGTTTATATGGAATGTTGATGATAGAAAATAGTGGAAAATCCGAAATAATAAGTTTTCTTTGGGGACTATTTTGCCTCACAGCGCCCTGCATATTATGTATCCCTCCACCATGAATGGATTTTAAAAATATGTTTTAGAACCAAAATCTTCTCAAAAGTATCATAAAACAGTGTCTCGGTCATCAGTGAATTCATAACCATTTTAATAACTTTCTGTGAGGGAGCTTTTAGAGGTAGACGTCTGGTTCCTGTCAGCTCCACTGTGAACAATTCTGACTTGCTAAGTTTCTCTAGAACAGAGCGTTTCACACCAAACCACTCTGAACGACTCTGTTTACATCTTAACCACTTAATTATGAGGGAATTTGGAAAATTGGTGAGATTGCCCTTGCATTAGCTTGAGTGGCTTATTGCTTTATTTTACTTCAGTAAGTTAGAGGTTCTACTTATTGCTTATTTTACATTTTTCTCAGCGTATAAAGACCTAAAATCAAGAGAGAGCACTAGAAACGCAGCCTGGCAGCACGAGGGCTGGAATGAGGTGGTTTACTACACAGGTAACTTAACCTTCTGCATTTCTTCTACTGTATTTGATTGCCTTGATGTCTGAATTGTTAACTTTGCATGAGAATAAAAAACATTCTTAACTTTCTGTAAAGGTTAACATCAAAATACGAGTAATTCTGGGACATTTTATACTGGTCCATCCGGAAATCTTTACACAGTGTGCAGAGCAGCTGGAATTCTTAAGTAAAAATTGGGAAAAAAATAGTTAGAAGTAGTGATGGGTAAAAAAGTGATTTTGCGACACCTGTTTTGAAACAGCACTGCATCAAATCACATGATTTCAGCTTCATTACATTATCACTGTTTCATAATGTTTCATGATTTAGTGCTGGTGGGGGTCCAACCCCCGAGGTGAATCTAATGATTTTAAAATCAGTCATAATTTAGGTTCATATTTAAGTGTCACTTAGCTGGTTGGCAGTAACAGTAATATGGGGTTTTGAGCAGATCACTTGACGTGTTACTGTCCCACCAATGTAAATTATCAAAATGAGTACAAAAAAGTTTAAATGTCAAAATACAAATTGTTTTCCTCAATAAAAACCTCTAAACTTCTCGTATCACCAGCCGTACAAAAACGCTGCAACGCCCACTTCAAAACATACAAACACAAAATGTACTCATTTAAAAATATAAAAAGATAAACCCAATTTTCATTACTGGACAAGTTCGCATATGATAATACATATGCTGTGGTGCTGTGGCTTAGTTGGTTAAAACGCCTGTCTAGTAAACAGGAGATCCTGGGTTTGAATCCCAGCAGTGCTTTGTTTGGGGCAGTCATGGGCTGAAGGTTAGGGGTCGCTGGTTTGATCCCCTGAGCTGGCAGTACGTGACTGAAGTGCCCTTGAGCAAGACACCTAACCCCCAACTGCTCCCTGATGCTGTGGATAGGGCTGCCCACTGCTCTGGGCAAGTATGCTCACCGCCCCCTAGTGTGTGTGTGCATTCACTAGTGTGTATGTGGTGTTTCACTGCAGGGATGGATTAAATGCAAAGGTGAAATTTCCCCGTTGTGGGTCTAATAAGGGTCACTCAACTTAACTAACTTAACTAATGAATTTGGGTTCTGCAATGCATATACACCAGTTTGACCAGCAGGTGGGGTCAGTGAGTTGAGTTTTAAAAGCATCAACAGTGAATCATTTTTTCAAATCACTTGATTCAAAATCTTCAGAAACCTCATTACTCCCACCACTAGTTACAAGACTTTGCCCCAATCCCATTTCACCCCTCGCCCCTACAACTTAGCCATACCCCTCTGTTTTGCACGTTCACGTCTAGGGGTAGGGTGTCCCGATTCTTGTTGAGATAGAGGGGTGGGGCAACAATGGTGCAGCAGTTCTGACACCTTAGGTACCAGAATGTAACTGCTGCTTCATTTAAGGTGGAACTGGAAACTGTTAATGAAGTAATGTTCTTTTTTATTTGAGGGTCTCATTTCGTAGGGAAGATTTCAACCACTACCCCTTAACTCAGTTCAAAGGGGCAAGGTGACACTCGAAAACAAGGGGTACAGGTAAAAAAGAGAAATGGGACTGGGCCTTTAATACAACAGTGTTGAGATTAGCATTGCACCATCTTGTTTGTTGTTTGCTTAAGCCACTAATCTTGAACTGTTGTCCTGCTTTAAGTGCCCCTTATTCAGCACATGGACTCCAGGATAATGATTCCAATGAAGGCATCGCCATTGCAGTAAAGCAGTTTCCCAAGAAGCTGAAGACAGGAACAGCTGCGACGTTGGATAACCCTCACTGCCGCGTTAATGATTCCGTAAAACCTGCTTGTTCCATAAAACCACACTGAAAAATCACACCAGAAACCCAAAAGAACTTTTCCTGGGTCCTAAAACTTTGTTTGCTTCTCAAATAGCAAGAATACTTTGATTGGAAGTTTCATTGGGTACCATAATTAAACCTCACGAGAAGCACATGATCGGCAGCTCAGACGTCAGTGGGTCACAACCCTCTTCTGTTCTGAGAATAAACCATTACTGAACAGCCTCATTCTTACAAACCAACAGAGGGAAGTATAGAACCAGACGCTCATTAACAATTATAGTCAATTGAAAACACAGCGGTGCTTATTATGGTTTGTAATGTTTTCAGATCCACCTTTTACTGTTGGACAGAAGTTGTGAAAAGCTGTTCTTTGGTGAAAAGAACTGGACTTTGCACAGCACTGTAAAAGCACTTTAAACGTGCTTGATGTTAACAGCGATTATTTTATTTATTGATGTGTTTATTTCATATTTATTTGCAGTAAATATAAAATAAAATCTCTAAACTGCTTATTCTTTCCATCAAGTGGGGCGACAGCATATGCAGATGTATAATACAGTTAGAAATGTTCGCTTGTGTATCTCTTAAACTACTTAAACTCAAACTACGCACAAATATGACTCCGTCGTACTGTATGTCCAGCAGCTGGGCCTGCGGATGTGTGGAAAACAAACCAGCATGTACCGATTTTCCATGTTTGTTATTGTCCTGTACAGTTAAGAGGTGTTATTTATTCATCTGCTTGGATATTGTTCAGGGGTCTGTCTCACTTCCTGACAAGCTTTACAAGACAAATGCAACTAGGATTAAAGGGGAATTCCAGGAATCTTTCAGAATTCAGTGTTTGAGATGTAAACTACAACGGTGTTTTAGGGCCACTGTTAATAAAAATAGTAGACTTTGAGAATAAAGTCATAATATTTCGAGAAAAAGTTGTAAAATTTTAAGAAAAAAAGTCATAATATTTGGAGGATAAAGTGGGCTGCTGTACTGTATGGGGGCTGCCATAATGCGCTGGGGTCTCGGTTGCTGTACTGGCACCGGAGTTCCACTCATTCCTGTCTCTTTGTGGATCATTTTGATTATCATTCTCACTGTCTGTGAAACGTCATGCCCTCTTTGAATGGTGTGGAGATGTAGCCCCCGATAGCCGTGTAGACGACCCTGCCTGAGATTCTCCTTCAACAAAACAGACAGACAGTTTCCTCCGAGTCCGTCTGGCTCTTTATTCTAGATAAACATTTCCTGCTCAGCCGGTTCAGCCATTTCTTATACTAATAACAGGCTGGTGCTGATGTGCAGGAGAGACAGGGAGACTGAGTGTTTCTTTATGGGTGAATCGATATGAAAATGGAACTCTACCAACTCCTCAATGCCCCTCATCGTACGACTTTTTTTCTCTAAATATTACGACTTTATTCTTGAAGTCTACTATTTTTATTTTTATTAACAGTGGCCCTAAAACACCTTCGTAGTAAACAGAGTGAGGGTCTTCCTTCCCGATGAGAAGGTGCTGGGTTCGAATCCCATCTAAGCGGTCATTGTAAAAACAAGTGGGTAATATCACTACCCTCCATCCAGTAGACTGGGGTTCGATTCCCCAATGTGCTCAGACAAGCACATTGCACAATACCAGTGAGAGTCCTTGGGCTCAACTCCCAACTATACATTTGTCTACTTCTGTAATATGATTATTCAGTGTGGATAAAAGAGTCTGCAAAATGCTAATGTAAAAAAAAACAACACAAATTTAGCCATTTTATTTACTATCTAAAACCACGAGTGAATCTACATGTGTCTTCTGAGTTTTATATGGAATGTTGATGATGGTAAAATAGTGGAAAATCTGAAAAAAACAGGTTTTCTGCCATGGATAGAGATTAGGAAATACATTTTAGGCCCAAATTGTCTGAAATCTATTGTAAAACTGTGTCTCAGACATCAGACAGTGAATTCATAACCATTTCATGTAGTAACTTCCTGTGAGGGAGCTTTTAGAGGTGGACGTCTGGTTCCTATCACCACCACTGTGAACAATTCTGACTCGGTAAGTTTCTCTAGAACAGAGCATTTCACACCAAACCACTCTAAATGACCTTATTTAATTCTTAATTATAATTTAATAACGCAGAAAATTTGACAAATCGGTGGAATTCCCCTTCGGAACAGGTTGGGTGTATAGCGTTAAGTTGTCATGGTGATGCATGGTTAAAAAAGACCCGAAAAGTGAGGCAGACCCCAATTCTGACCTCAGTCTTGTTTTTCTCCAGTATGATTTTCAGTATTTACTCTTTTTGTGGCATGAAATTTTTGCTTTTAAATGATAAAAGACAAATCAGTACCAGCTGTGATAAACATTAAATGATACAATAAACTATTAAATGATGCAGTCTGTCCTCTTGCTGTATGTGAATGAGACCTTTTTACATCAACACTAATCAAACAATCGATCAATATACTGTAGAATATAGTTTTTATTCTTTCTATTTCAGTAACAACATTAAAAAGTCTTCTTAATAGATATGCACATATTATTTAATAAAAAACAATTACAGTAATTTTAGTGACATCTACTAAAGCATTACCATCATAAAAACACGGAAAACAAGATGTTAAAACTAAGAACGTCTGTGCAACTTCAGTTACATCACATTAGTTATTATACAGATTAGCTTTCTAGCATTGTGCCTTCTACTGTACTGTAAACACTGTAGTGTATTAAGATGCTTCATATGACTGAATACTAAAACCCAGAGATATTAAAATTAGAAAATTGTGCAATAAGTAAAAAAAACAACAAAAAGTGAGTAGAAAGGCGCAAAGCTGGTGATGGTGAAATGTTTCACAATGTGCAGAGATAAATTCACTAAATCTTCTCGAGTTCCTTTAGCAGCTCCCCAAAACTTGTGACGTACCAAGAGGACTTGTCCTTCACCTGCTGCCGGACAACGTTGCCCCCGAATCCAATGAAAGTGCTCTGAAAAGAGAACGTAAATATTTTGGCTGTTATTAGTCAAAGTTTAAGTGAATTTCATCAACAGTATTTATGGTTACATTATCAAAAACACCATCTATATCATCAATAACATCAGTAATAACAATGAAATAATAAATACCCACAATAATTGTGCACATTAGAATCTTTGTGCTAAAACTGTAGGCTACTGAGTTTGACTACTGTCAGCGCATCATTTATACTGAATGAATACTGAATATTAATATTGCATAATATAAGTTAAATATTGTAGAATATTATTATTGTATTTTCAACTGATTAACATATTAAATATGAATAATGAGTATTCAGAATTTACAGATCTGGCTCTTTATAGACCTCTGAGGTTGAACATTACTCTGTGATCAGTTTTATGTCCATATTAGCAACTCGGTGTCTAAACCATTTATCTCTATTGGTAAGAATGAATGATGGTAAACATAAATGATGATTGAGCTACAGACATTCGTCCCTGACTGTTACCGAATCCTCAATTATCCTGAATTACAGGATCATTAAATATGAATATCACTTCACTGAACAGGACCCTCATGGACCCTCACAGAGCAGGTACTATTTGGGTGGTGGATCATTCTCAACACTGCAGTAACACTGACGTGGTGGTGGTGGTGTGTTGGTGTGTGTTGTGCTGGTACGAGTGGATCAGATACAGCAGTGCTGCTGGAGTTTTTAAACACCTCAATGTCACTGCTGGACTGAGAATAGTCCACCAACCAAAAACATCCAGCCAACAGCGTCCTGTGGGCAGCGTCCTGTGATCACTGATGAAGGACTAGAGGATGACCAACACATACTTTGCAGCAGCAGATGAGCTATTGTCTCTGACTGTACATCTACAAGGTGGACTGACAAGGTAGGAGTGTCTAATAGAGTGGACAGTGAGTGGACACAGTGTTTAAAAACTTCAGCAGAACTGCTGTGTCTGATCCACTCAGACCAGCACAACACACCACCACCACGTCAGTGTTACTGCAGTGCTGAGAATGATCCACCACCCAAATAGTACCTGCTCTGTGGGGGTCCATGGGGGGTCCTGACCACTGAAGAACAGGGTAAAAGGGGGCTAACAAAGTCTGCAGAGAAACAGATGGACTAGTCTGTAATTGTAGAACTACAAAGTGCACCTATATAGTAAGTGGAGCTGATAAAATGGACAATGAGCATAGAAACAAGGAGGTGGTCATAATGTTATGTCTGATCAGTGTGTGTGTGTGTGTGTGTGTGTGTGTGTGTGTGTATATATATATATATATATATATATATATATATATATATATAAAATCAGCTGAAATATTGAGTATCTTGTCTTTGCGCAGTCATTTCTGTGGTTTTTATTTACATTTTTACTAAGTCTTACATTATCTGTGTCTCAACATTTTTGGAATGTTGGATATTGGATATTAACAAGCAATGCTGATATGGTAAAACCTGAAATATATTTTCTTTTGTGCTGTTTTCCATTAAATACCTGTAAATGACAGTTTACAAATCACTTCATTTTACCTACTGTCTCACATGTGAGAGTAAAATGCTTGCTGTTGCCAACTGAAAAAAAGAACTTCAGATGTAAACATGTAACAAATAATCATATAATTTACATAAGACACACCCTCATTTATGCAGGTGTGGGCCAGTACAAAACATCTAGCAGGCTGATGGGCCAGTAGTTTTAATCCATAAACAAATCCACCTGTGCAAATGCAATGCAGTATTTTGATTAATGACAATGTCGATGATGCTGATTATTTTTATGTTTAACTGCAAATCAGGCATTTCTCAGGCTGTTAAGCTACTATACTCCAATGGACACGTTCCCTGGCCGGACGTGATTTCAAAAACAGGTGAAAATTTGCATATGCTCATTTTACGAATGACACACTGTACAGTCAGTCATTTATCCATGCATTTGCATTCGTGCATGACATTAAGACACTGTTACAGTCCAAAACTATGAACTGAGTTTCAGGTGACAGATGAGTTTGTGGTGCGCACTCACAGCGGGGGGGCAGGCCTCGAGGTCTGTAGCACCATCTCCGATCATCACCACTTTTTCGAAGCCGTACTTCTCCTTCAGCAGGCTGATCACTTTGCCCTTGCCTCCGGACTCCGCTGTAGGCTGAGTCTCATCGAAACCTGCATATTCTCCTGATAACGGAAAAGCTCTGTTACCCATTAATCCATTAATCTATCACTCACAACTTGATATCTACAGGCAGGCAGCACCGATCCGATAACCAGTAGTGCTATCGGGCCCATACCAGCAAAAAATACTGGATCGGAAAAAAGGAGGACAAAGAAAAAATCCAATTTGATTCTGTCACAAAATCAGCCATGAAGTATCAGAGACTGCTATACTGCAACATAACTGTAAGGTAGGTCAAGTGATTAAACAGTAACCACATGAACAATATGGAACTAGTTAAGTATTATATTGACGTATTACATTAAATTTACTATTATTTATCTAAAACATTTTATAGTAGCTTGTTCTAAAGCTTATAAATGTTTACTTTCATTAGCCAAGCATTATAATACAAAGAGACTGAAGAAATAAAACGAGTTACAAATATGTGCAAAATGACACTGAAGAAAAATAAAGTAAATAATTGAGTAATTAAGGAAAAGCTAATAATATTAAATAAAAACAAAGTCATATCGGTATACTCAAGGTTTTAGAGTTAAAATAAAATAAAATGGTATCATGCTGTTGGTACACCTGCATGTATGGTGAGCTTCCTTACCGTTGAAGTAAAATTTCAAGCGGTTAGCATAGACGTGGTCAAGAGGAATGCCCAGCTGAGTGGCCACGTGCTCCACAATACAGCGAAAGCCTCCAGAGATGAGGAAGACCTTCACGTTACGCTGATGTAGCCTCTCCACGAGCTCCCTGAGAACACAATCACGCCGAGATGAAATCAGGCGTTTCATTTTAAAATACACCAGCGTCTTTAACAGAAACTGTTCTCTTGTAGCTCCACTTTGCTTTGTGTACAGTTAGAGACTGAAGCTCATCTGTTGTAGTTTGTTTTAGTTGTTGTAGTTTCTGACCAATCATGAATGGGGTAAAAGGGGGCTGATAAACTGGACAGCAATAGATAAGCTTCACTGTACATCTACATAGAGCTATAAGGAAGGTGTTTCTACGAACCCCATTTCTGGAAAAGTTGGGACATTTTGAAAAATGCAATAAAAACAAGAATCTTTATTCAACTGAGAAAAGTACAAAAGATGGCTTTTAATGTTTTGGCCTACCGACTTGTTTGCTTGTAAATATAAACCAATTTTTTAATTTGATGCCTGCAACAGTTGGGACAGAGTAAAATAAGAGTAAAAAGATTATAGAACATTTAAGTTACACTATTTTGAAACATTCAGCAATAAGCAGGTGAACTGGTGACAGATGAGGGTATCATGATTGAGTATAAAAGGAGGGTCCAACAAAGGTTCAGTCTCTGCAAGCAAAGATGGAACACAATCCACTGCATCAACAAATGCAGCTTGACAACTATTACACAAGGATAAAGCCACACATCAATTCTATACAGAAACGCCGTCGAGTTCTCTGGGTCCGAGATCATCTCAGACAGTCCAAAAGACAGTGTAAATGTGTGCTGTGGTCAGGTGAGTCCATGTTTCAGCTCGTTTTTGGTAAAAACAGATGTTGAGTTCTCCCAGAAGGGACCATCCAGACTTTTATCAGCAAAAGGTTCCATTGGGGTGGATCAGTACTCACAGCATGGGTGACTTGCATATGTGTGAAGGTACCATTGATGCAGAGCCATATATTGGGATTTTAGAGAGACGTATCGCTGCTGTCTGAAGAAAACCTTGTATCTCCATTTTTGTCGTTTTTCAGTTTTTGACATAATTTGAAAATGCCTGTTGGCCTTTCCATTGTGTGTAAATCTCATGAAGAATGGACCAAAAGAAATGATGCGAAATGACTTGGAAAAAACTCTGGTTCCATTGACTTACATTAAAAGTAAAGTATGTTTTTTCCTCCTCCTGTGAAGTTACCATTTTGGAGACACAAGGTTTTAGTTCCGACAACAGCGATATGCTGCCATCAATATGATGTCTGTTCCTGCAAAGTCCATGTTTATTTCAGCAAAACATTTCCAGGCCTTATTCTGCATGTGCAACAACAGTGCATGTGCTTGTCCGGCCTGCCTGAACTTCAGATCTGTCTCCTATTGAAAACGTATGGCGCATCATGAAGAGGATAATCAAACAACAACCATGGACTGATGAGCAGCTTTAGTCTTGTATCAAGCAAGAATGGGCAAAAATCCCACTCGCAAAACTGCAACAATTGATGTCCTCATTACAATTAAAAGGTGTAATTTAAAGGAAAGCTGATGTAACATAGTTGTAAACATGCGTCTGCCCCACTTTTTTGAGTGTGTTGCAGGCATCAAATTCTACATTTGTTTATATTTACAAAATGCAATTAAGTTGGTCAGTGAAAAATTGGAAATCTTTATACTTTTGTCAGTTAAATAAAGATTCAGGAAAATTAACAAATCATAGATACTTGTTTTTACCGCATTTTACAAAATATCCCAACTTTTCCAGAAATGTGGTTTGTAATTGTGTCCAGTTAGTGGAAGAACAAGTTAGTGAGTGTACTGTGAGCCCTGCTGTACTTCCCCACTAAGATTACCATATTAAGAGACTGAATCAGCACCAACTTACTTAATACCTGGAGTCAGCTGAGGAGGGTGGTCTGTTATCAGTTTGTTGACTTGTTCCCTTGAGCACTTGATAATGGACAGACGCTCCGTCAAGGCTGTTTTGAATGTTACTGACCCCCCCATGGCCTTTCGAGTCCTGTGGATATTGGACATTCTTATCAACAGATAACAGCATGCAGGCTCATCAAAGCATAATCAAGGCTGTGTATACACAAGCGGGAATCAGCAGATGATCGTTCGTGCTTTGATTTGATACTAATACTCAATAACGTGCTTAATCTCCTCCAGAAGACTTAGAATTTTTTCACATTTATGGCATTTGACATTTGACCCCAGTCTGCTGGGTGAAGGGACAGCAACACCGCGCTACATGCAATTCTAACCAAAGAGCAGAACAATAAGCTGCGGCTGAGCTACGATACTAGAATATTTGCAAATTCACAAATTTTCTCTTTGTGGAGAGAAAGCAGCACCGCACATCACTGCCCTCCATCGCTGTCACCAGCACACAAAAGAGACGTGACGTTAGGTGACTCATCGAGGGGTCATATAATTGATTATATTATAACATTTAATAACACCTACCACAACAAAACTGGCAAAATGAAAAATTACTAAGCAGAGATTTTTCTTTAGAGCCCCTTTGTAGCCACCCCAGTTTGATTACCCTCTATATTTATATATAAATATGTTTGTGTTCGCATCAACAAATACGTACATAAAAATATTAGATATCAGTATTAGTATCATACTTCCAATATGGTGCGTCCCTACTAAGAAGGTCAGGAAAAAGTGTGTTTACGTGCACTTAATAATTGATAACTGCAGAAAATCAGATTGTGTCAGTAACTGGTTCAGTGTGTTTACACTTAATCTGATAACTGCAGAAAATCAGACTGTGTCAGTAAAGGGTTCAGTGCGTTTACACTTAGTAATCTGATAACTGCAGAAAATCAGACTGTGTCAGTAAAGGGTTCAGTGCGTTTACACTTAGTAATCTGATAACTGCAGAAAACCAGATTGTGTCAGTAACTGGTTCAGTGTGTTTACACTTAATAATCTGATAACTGCAGAAATCGGATTGTGTCAGTAACTGGTTCAGTGTGTTTACACTTAATAATCTGATAACTGCAGAAATCGGATTGTGTCAGTAACTGGTTCAGTGTGTTTTCATGCTCTTGAGTAATCAGATAACGGGGAAACTCCAGGTCTACATAAGTCAGTCAGTAATCGGATATCTGCTTTACAACCAGCCAATAAACTCACAGAACAAGGTGTGACGTAAACGTAATGTAAAACTCAAACTTCATGCCGTGGCTTTTTTAAAACATCGAGACACTTTATCAGAAAATATGAACATACATCATCTAGAAGATGAAGAATATTTAAATTCTTCATTTTATCGAGCATATATTCGGTTTCAGCGTCGCTCCAATAGTGCTGTGCAGCGTCTCACGAGTGCTGTGTTAACCGCTGTGTTAAACGCTGCTCGCTGTTTCCGGGACGCCGCTCTGTTTTCAGACATGCTCAGACTGAGAGAAACGAAAGAAATCAGAGTGAGAGTTTACATCACTGAAAAACCCCATTACTGAGTTCAAATCCAGCCTCTTTATCTAAAAATATGACAACTGCCTTAATCCAAAATCACAGTATGCAGTTGACATGACGACTTGTATAATCAGACGCTGAAATCCGATAATGATCGGATTATTGTTGTGCATGTAAACGCGCTAACTGTAAAGCAGCCTTACATCTCTGTAACTGCATCACCGACTCCACAGAACTTGGCAAGCTCATCGATGCCCTCCTCCCGTATAACCGTGCTGTCGACATCGAAGCAAACTGCGTCTGCACACCGGAACATTTCTTTCGTCTCTGCTAACGTCATCATCATTGTACACAATGTCCTGCAAAGACAGAAAGAAGGAAAACAAAGTGTTTTAAGTTCACATGAAAAGTAAAATTCCAAAAGATTTGTACTTTTCTTTTGATATGAAGGGTGTTAATAGTGAGTCTGTGCTGCAGTAACAGCCTCTACTCTTCTGGGAAGGCTTTACACTAGATGTTGGAACATTGCTGTGAGGATTTGATCGAGCGTTAGTGAGGTCAGGCACTGATGTTGGATGGTCAGTTCCAGAAGGGTAATGGATGGAGCTCCATCACTCCAGAGAATGCAGTTCCATTGCTCCACAGCCCAATGCTGGGGGGGGGCTTTATAGCCCTATAGCCCACGCTTGGCATTGAACCTGGTGACCCTAGACTCATGTGACCTTAAGCTGCTTCAGAGCGTCCCATTCAATTGGTCAGTGCTTTTCTATGAAGATTACACAAGCTGTGTCAGCAGTGGGTGACCTTAAAATGGCTGAACTCACTTGCTAGAAGTGGCATCTAAATACTTTTGGAAGGGATGCAGTTTGTTATGGTTTCTCTCATTTAATTCGTAATCACATCTTATTCCTCTTTCAAAGCAGTGCTGTGTCACTGCTGGACTGAGAATCGTCCACCAACCAAAAACATCCAGCCAACAGCGTCCTGTGACCACTGATGAAGGACTAGAGGATGACCAACACAAACTGTGCAGCAGCAGATGAGCTATCGTCTCTGACTTTACATCTACAAGGTGGACTGACAAGGTAGGAGTGTCTAATAGAGTGGACAGTGAGTGGACACAGTGTTTAAAAATTTGTTTGTTATTTTCTCATAACTTTAAATAACTTTAGTCTCAAGTTGGTTTTACTTCCACTTTTACTTTCACATTATTGCATTAAATTAGCAGCACTTTTTCTGATCTTACTGGTTGCCAAATCACTATAGAGCAAAGGCAGACAGTCTGGCTCTGAGAGCAGTGAGAGAAAAGCAGAAAAGAAAGGACTCTTTTTCTTTTTCTTCATCAGGGACGTGAGGTAACGATAGTTACAACGTGCTATGCACAACGTGAGCAGCTGGGGAGACATTTAAGGATTGCATGAACTCTTTTACTGTCTAGAGCATTAAAACTGAGATGAATGTCAAGTCAAACTGGCACAGTGGGCCCAGCAAGTGTCCGGGTTATTGCATCAGCCTCAGAAGAGGGAGCTCTCCTCTCCTGCAAGGCTCAGCTCTCCGTGGTGGACCTGCGGACACTTTCCAGGACGCAGCACGAGCTGAATTTCTCCTCCACTGAACAATAAGACCTGTTTGCTCGAAGGAACTGTAAAAGTTAACGGTTATAAATCTGCCTGTAAACATCAGTGTAAGTGTGTCTGTCTTACCTTTTCACGCTGGCTATTAGACTTAAAGAGGTAATCTCGCGGATGTCCAGCACTTCGTCTCCAAAACTCCGGCGCGCTCTGCCCTGAAATCTCCAGCGTGTCAACTCTGACCGTGGAAAACAATCAATGAACGTTTCTCCACCGCTGATTTCCTTCTGCTCTGCAGATGAGGAGGGGCAGCCAATCAGAAGAGGCCCGCGTTCACCGCAGACTGCGCTGATTGGCCGGCTCTCCGGTGTTGCCTTGTCTGATGTTTTTATTGGTAGTGGTGCGATCCGAGCCGGTTTCAGAAGAGCTGGCTACTTCCTGCTTCTCCGGTGATTTAAAAAACATGACTGCTGACCGCCAGGGGGCGCCTGAGAACGAGTCCTACATTAAGGTGGGTAAATGGAGCTAAACGGCTAAAAAAAGGACTTTTCTTTAATTTCACTAAAAAAATAAATAAAACTTTCCTGTTTGTTATTTTTTTTCTACAGTAAACAGGTTGTGAGTTGAATGGATGCTAATATTACCAGAGTACTTGTAGAGAGAAGAACCAGAGCCGGTTTATGTGGAGCCTGGCCTCTTCTCATTGCCCCCGTTATATCAAAAACAGGACTGCTAAACAGCAGAGCAGAGCGGAGTCCTCAGTGAATGGGAGTGAATTAAGCTCAACGGCTAAAAACGAAAAGTTAAAATAGTTTCTAATCACTCGCCCAGAACTTCCCTTTAATTTTAGAAAGTAGAAGGATGTATTTCACTAAAAACACGAAGAAAACTCACCTGTATGTTTCCTTTTTACTACAGCAAAGGGGTTTTGGGCAGCAGGGGGGCGGGAATTACTGCTACTGAGTTTGCTCAGGAGGCGGGCATTACTGCTTACTGTTCGCGCTCACAGACGTCATGAACGTACATGAGGCGCCGTTTTAAACTCCTATAACTCGAGTTTAAAAGCTCTTTAAATATAACAGCAGTGTTAAAATGTTTGTAAAATGCTGTTCTGTGCTCAGGAAATGAATGAATTCTTTTACATTAAAAATGTTTAAGCATTTATAAACTATTATTTTCTCCTCTGTACATGTTCTCTGGGAGAACTACCGCTCTGTAATGTCTTCTGGGTTTCTCAAACACTAGAGGGCGCTCCCGAGCGAGTCCAAAATGAATGGGTTAATATGGAGCATTTGAGTGGAATCATAGTTTATAAATGCTTAATTGTTTTCAATATAAAAGAATACAATCATTTCCTGAACACAGAACAGCATAAAACATTTTAACACTGCTGTTATATTTTAAAGAGCTTTTAAACTTTATACAGCATCTCATGTACTTTATCACGTCTGTGGGCGTGAACAGCCAATGAGCTGCACCACTTAGTAGCAGCAATGCTAAACAATCAGCACTCAGTAGCAGTAATGTTTAGCCGTTGAGCTCCATTTACTCTCATTCATTGAGGACTCGCTTGCAGGCGCCCTCTGCTGTTTTGCAGTCATGTTTTTGATAGAACGAGGGAAATAGGAAGAGGTCAGGCTCCTCATAAACCGGCTCTGACATTACTGTTACCGAGTACTGAGTGTTGAAGAAAAAGAAGAAGAAGAAAAAGAAGAAGAAAACACCATTGGACAATAAAGCCACACATCAGGTTGTTGGAACCTCTTTATTAATACTGACTATGAGGTCAGTTGGTATCAGTGCTTCATCAGCGTCACTGAAATCTGTTTTATCTAAGGCAGAAAACGAAGGCTTGATATGTCTATAAACAGCAATAAATCACTCCAGGCAGTGTGTTATAGTGGTGGTTAAAGGGCGTTTTTAGCCCAAACTGCCCTTTAATTGTGGCAATATGACTGTAAACACATGACCTCATGCGGCTTGTTGCTTTTGGAAACTGCTGACTAAATATAACATGATAAAACACACCAACATTCAATAAATAATGCAATTTACTATTAATAATAATAACAAAAAACACCAACGTAGTTTGATAACAGCAGACTAAGGTTGCTAAGCAACAAAACAGTAAAAGATGATGGCTCAGCCATATATGCATAAGTTTGGGCGCCCTTCGTCGAATTCCATATTTGTGTGGATTTTCTGAGTGTAAATAAGTTACACATCCTCAGAGACACATTTCTGCACATTTTAATGCACAGCTACTGTTTATTTGCTGAATTCAACACATTGGGAAAAGAATAAAACATGAAATGAGGCCTGTGCAAATGTTACGGTACATTTTATATTGTTATATTTTTTCCAATATGTTTAATTCAGCATGTGAGTAGAATTTCTGCAAAATTTTAAAATTTGCACCATACTTAAGTTCTCTGTTGAGGATGTGTTAACATCTTAAAGAATGTAATTTGATTGGGGTGTTCAGACTTTTGCATGCAACTGTATTCTAGAACCCTCGATATCTGCTCTGCTATTTAGGTGTGAATTAAATAAATTACACTTATTTATTAATTATTAAATATTAAATAAAGCTTTATACAGTTTTAACATTACAGCATCACCAGTCTGTTGTGAAGCTGTGGATATCCTGACTGCCACGCTTCCATATCAAAGATCATAGATTATTTTACTGTACTGTTACAGTTTGTTTGATGAACTGTAAAACTCAGATCTCTCTGTTTAATTTCAAATAAATAACAACAAGAATATTATTATTTCCCCTTTGCATAAATGTAAAAAAGGTGCAGTTTAACACACTTTAACAGTTAGACATGCTTTATGAGGAGGTTCACCTCTCCTCAATCACATTCTTGTTCAGGGGTGGACAAAACACCAAGCATCTGCATCATTTCTGTATGTAGAACTATTCCCTCTGTATTTTCACTTGAGTTAAAGCCATCAGTCTGTCAGTTGTCACCTCAATGATACACTTAAGGGTACGTTTTCAGTGCCTTTAATTAGGGAACCTAACTGTGCCATATTCTCCTGCAGTTAAATTTCTTATGTGTATATATATATATATATATAAAGAAAAGTACTGCCCAGTCGACACAGTCTATGTATGGAAACTAAACTGCAAAAACAGCCTGTTGTGAATTCACTGTTTTTGTGATGTCACAAAAACTAATACACTTACATATATTCAGCTATTCAGACTACAGCACTCTAGCCCCCCCATTTAGTCTGTAGCAGTTTAGACCCACCCATTCAGCCTATAGCAGTTTAGCTCCACCCATTCAGCCTACAGCAGTTTAGCTCCACCCATTCCGCCTAAGCAGTTTAGCCCCGCCCATTCAGCCTACAGCAGTTTAGCCCCACACATTCACATTGAAACAAGGTGCAATTCAAGACAGCCAATCAGAACAGAAAATTATTTAAATATGTCTTAAAGATACAGTAATAAAATGAATCAAATGAATGTTATAACATTGTAAAGAAAAAAAATACAAGCAAAATGTAGGATTTGGGTCCTTTAGGGATTTTGTTTCTTTCTGGGTACATTTTTTATCGTTTGGGAATAAAAGTGTACCTGTACAGTACCTTTATCTTCAGAGTGTCCTGTGAGTCACTGCAGTCATTGTATTTAATGAACAATTTCTAAGACCTGTGTGGCTGCAGACCTTAAAAACTGAGTGAGCTGTTAATCTCTGCAGCCACACAGGTCTCCTGAATAGGAATTATTCATCAGAATCACTGCAACAACTCACAGAACTTTTGTTTTAAAACATAAGTACATTTAAAAGCCAGTACTTTTGTACTTTAACTCAAGTATGAATACATACAGAGCAGTTCTGCTGTACTGAAGCAGTATTTTAGCTGGAGTATCTGTACAGAGGTTTGGTTCACCTCAGCTCCTGTTTTCCCTTTTCATTCATTTCAATGGGCTCTGCTCTCCTCTACCACGTTCGCAGCGCCGGATCGTCTGCCTCGGCAGCTATGGAGAGCAGGATGGCCTTTGGAGTGTTCTCGAACAGGGCGGCTCTGTTCTGCGTCTGGCCCTTTTTCACCCAGTGTCCGTAGATCTTGAAGGCGCAGGCGTCGATGAGCTTGCGAATGGGTTTCACTGCGTAAGGATCGCTCTTGATCACCTCCTTGGTTACGGGCTTGGCGCGACGATAGTTGCAGTAAATGCGCATCGCGGCCAGGACTGTTATAGAGAGGACCTGAGAAATAAAATGACCAAAACAAGAAATTATTCAAAACAGACTCAGTCCATCAGTGTTGTGTACGGACAAATCTCATCGCAAAACAAGTGTAATAGATTAACAACCTGATAAATGCTTGATTTACAGTTAAATTAAAGGTGCAACGATACACAAACCACGTTTTTGCATCACGATTTCATATGTTTTCAGTACAGAATTAGAAAAGAATGCTAACATAACTTTCACATGTGTTTATGTATTTTTTCAGTAATTGCAAAAATCAAATTTTCCCCTAAAAGGCAACAGTGCTTCTTGAAGGTGTAGTCATTTTCTTAAAAGACATCAAATAAATAAAAAATAATATAAATAAACATGCAAGATGCATATTACATATTGCACATGATGCAGTTGGAAAAAACTGTGTTATTACAGCTCATAATAATAATAGTAAACAAAAACTGTAGGCTACAAAGTTACATCTCGAAATTAAATGAACTAAGCTTTACAACCTTATTGCATCGCATTTTATATGATAAAATCTAATTATATTTGATTCACAATGCTTATCGTCCACGATCAGAAAAAAAAGAATATTAACAGGTTAATGTGCATCAAGACACCCACGATGCGAAATAGGGTTCTTGGAAGAACCAGGACCCCCTAATTAATCTCTTACACTCCCCCGCCCCCCAAATGTCTCAAAATCAAAATTCTGGGGGGGTCGATGAGTGCAGCGACACCCAGCATGCTCAATCCAGTATGGCATGAGTTTGACTATGGCGTTGATGTTGTCCGTACAGCTGGAGGAGGTTCATATTGAGCACTTTTACCATTACATAATAAACTTTATGCTCATTTAAACCATTTACAGTTTACTGCATTGATCTGTAACGATTTACAAGTGAAATAAATCATTCTGAAATCAGATGAATCTTTTTGAATCACCCTGTATATAAACTATGGGTTAAATGCTAGACCGATGGAACAACCAGTAACAGTTAAAGTACATTTCTCTTATAAACTATAATGTTATAAAGTTTTGTGGAATATCAATGCTGTCACTTGTTTTTTTCTTTTTTTTGACCTTGTTGTTTCCCTTCACTGCGATTAACTGGATATTTAAATATCAAACACAGTCGGGATGCCAATGTGAACTGAAGTTATTGTGCATTTTTGGTTCGTTCAAGTTGTTTCTAATTGGGACAACAAAGCTCACCTTGAACTTCTTGTATGGGCTGAAATGTCGCACCTCCTCAACCACGTACTGCTGGAAGAAGGGGTGGTTTAGGGCCTCTGTGGCGGTGCAGCGCTGCTCTGGAGTCACCACCAACATTCTGGAAATCTGCAGACATTTAAACATAGTAATATATGAGTGAATAAAGAAAGAATAAAGAAATAAGCAGTCCAGTCGTGGCCTGTCTTAGTCTAGAATTAAGTTCAGTCTGGGTCCAGGAGACTGGCCCTGATAGAAATGCAACAGAAAACTACTTAAAACTACTTATCTACCACTTTTTCATTTCAAATTTGGGCCAAACATTACATTAAAATTTCTCTTTTCAGCAAAAAAACAAGAGACTATACATAAAAATGAAAAACTTCAAGCATTATTATAAAGGTAAAAGCACCAATAGTGACAGCGCTGCCTTTTTAACACTAGAAATGCTTTATTTTATACAAATTTACACAGTTTAGCTTGTTGTTTACACAGTTTTGCTGCTTGTTCCTAAAAAGTACCCGCTTGTCTTCAAGTTCATGTGACTGGCGGTTAATTATGAACATAATCAATCACAGGATTAATCACAGCCTGAGTCTTTAACCCTTAAAACCCAAGAATTTTTTGAAAATTTTTGGTCAATTACATAAAGTATTTACATGCCATATGTTGTTATTTTCAGGAGACCCTGGGCTGCTCAGATATGCCATTGTTTGACATGTAAATGCTAACAGAAATTTGATATCTTTATTAATTTGGGTCATTTCTGATCAAAAATATACCCAGTGCCTGCTAAATTTTGTAATTTTTAATTATAACTTGAAAACAAGTTACACCTCAGATACCTTTTCAGAAATTGTTTGTCTGGAGTGTCTGTGAGCTGAAAGTGCAATGATTTTGATGGTGATTCATTCTGTTGGTTATTATGAGTAAAAATAAACAATTAGCATAAAGTGGGCAGGTTTTTATTGATTTTCTGTCCTCTTGGATTCAGGCTGAGTGCTAAAACTCTGATACACAGCAAGACTGGCTTTATTTTTAATTACAAACTGAGTTGCATATTTAATATCAGATTTTTTAGTACTCAAAATCAATGTAAACTGAAAGACAAAGCTAAATATCATTAATTTTATAATAATATTTGTCATATTTATTGATATTTATCTGTTAAAATGTGTTTTAGGGCCTGTTTGTGAGATTTTGAGGGAAAGAGGGAAAGTGTAGTGAATGGGACACTGCAGTTCCCCCCCCCATAGGAATAATGACTGCATATGATTCATTTTTTATGTGTATTTATCTCTGCATTTCTGATTATCAGCACTAAACTCTGTTTGTGAAAGATTTACACCGAACACATTTCTGTGGAGATTTAAATGGGTATTTAAATGGAGGTAAACGGTGGTTTTCTGAACTGGATTACTGACTGGATCTTCGCTAAAACTTCAGACAGTCACTCTGGATACAAAGGGTAAGTCCTGATGGTCAGCGTGATGTGTGGATTGCGTCGCTGTTTTAAACCAGAGAATGTTTACTGTGACAGTGTTTATTAGGTCTGGTGAAGCTGAAGGTCAAGGTTAAGTTAAATGTCCTTTGTAAAACAGACCCCATGTTTTAGAATCCGAGCTACATGTTTGTAAAAAAGGATTTTTTTTAATCTCATAATGAGAATAAACATCTACTGAAAACCTGTTAAACCTTTGGTGCAGCTTTGGAAGACGTTAACTCAAAGGAAAAGAGATGTTTTGGCTTGTTTGCCAACAGGATATGGTAAAAGGTTAGTTTATTAAGCCTGATCAGCTGTTTAAAACAATAACATTGATGGTCTTGGTTATACTGTCCACAACGATGGTGTCCAACAAGGTCACTTTTTAAATGCAATGTGATTTTTAGCTGCATACACAGATTACAGCAGAGAAATGGACCAAAAAATAGCTTCAGCATTCAGAAACAGTGACTGGCAAGACAGGCAGAGATACACACACTATTTTTGTTTGCCAAAGACAACAGGAGTCTTTTCGCATGCTTTTTTCACACATTTGCCAATTATTTCCACATCATTCTTACTCCAGCTGAATGATTTCAACTGTGAATGATGGAAACCACATTCAGCCACTTTTATAACTTTAATTACTTGCCCAGTGATATCCTATGATGCTAAAGCTCATTGAGCTAACAGAAGGTGTGGACTATGTCAACGAGCACACTAACACCACCTACTTTGAGCTCCACCATCACTAATTTAGAAATTTTCCTACTCAGTTTCTTCCCACTCTAATAAGTCATTGTGCCCCACCTGCCCCCCGACGCATCCACATTCAGCCCAAAATTTCACATGGTTGTGCCCAGACGCTCTCAGTCACTATGTAAGACTCAAATCTCGCTATACGAGATCTCATAAGCCACATAAACAGCTTATAGATGCTGAATTTTATCATGCAGTTCTGCTTTAATAGTCACTCATAGCGTACTAGGTCTTTGACAGTGTCCGAGCGGTCGTCCCACTCCGGCGATGTGAACTGGTAATTCCCCGCCAGGATCATCCGCAGCATCAGCATCTGCTTCCTATGCCAGAAGGGTGGAGATCCAGCCAGCAGCGTGTACATGATCACGCCTGCGCTCCATCTGTGGGGACATTACATCATTTTAGTGGTCTGTTATTCTGTGAGCTTCTTTCAGCTGCAGGAAGAGGTCACAGACTGGAGGTCAGTGGGGTCATTTGGTGGGGCAATACTCCACCAACCAATCATCACACCCCACTAAACCTCACTCAGAATCTTGCACATGCGTCTGTAGCAGCAAGTGGAGAAAAAGTCAGCAAAGTGAAAAAGTGCCACTAGGTATAGAGGCCTACAGTGATAAACATAGGAGGGTTTGTATTCTTCACCTTGCAATAGGGACATGCATGTTTTTTTTTATTTTTGCTGTGTGGATGTTTTTGCTAGTAAAACCACAATATAACATTAGAATAAACAGAAATAAACATAAATAATCACAGCTAATTTCTATATGACAATTTTCCAACCTCTCTTTATCCCTTAGAGTTTTCGCTACTGTGCCTTTAATGTTGTTTCCTTCTTTAGTTTGGGCGCAAGTTCCCTTTCTCTTTCTTTACAGCTCTCCTTCCTCTTTTCAGTAGTTTTGGATTTCCTTTCCTTTCCTTTCCTTTCTTTCTTTTCCCTTCTCTTTCCTCTCTGAGCCTTTCCTTTCCTTTCCTTTCCTTTCCGAGCCTTTCCTTCCCTTTCCTTTCTAAGCCTTTTCTTTTTTTTCTGAGCCTTTCCTTTCCTTTTCTGAGTCTTTCCTTGTCTTTCATTTCCTTCCCAAGCCTTTTCTTTCCTTCCTGAGCCTTTCCTTTACTTTCCACACCATTTCTTTCCTTTCCGAGCCTTTCCTTTCTGAAACTTTTCTTTCCTTTTCAAGCCTTTCCAAGCTTTTCTGAGCACTTGCAAGCCTGACGCTTTAGAGTCTCAGAGTTACTCAGATTTATAGATCATATTTTCAGCTGGTCTTCTGCACAGAGCTGTATATAAGGGGGTCACAGACTCAGCAGTTATGTAACCGAATTGTTAAACAGTATCACTTACATGTCCACTGCAGTGTCATATCCTGCATGATGAGGATCCATCGAGCACTCAATGATCTCTGGAGCCAGATAACCTGGAGTTCCACACACCTCTGCAGTCCCAGTCAATAAACAATAAAAATAAACAAACAAAGATCTGATTAGTCGATGGTTTAGGTCACTGATATCTATAACTGCATAATAATAATGCTAATAACGATTATTATTACTATTATCATTATGATTATTATCATAACTATTATTATCAAGAAGTAAAAGAAGACTAACAATAAAATAATAATTATCGTATTATAATAATATGATTGTTATAATATTAGTATAAATATTTAGTACAATATCAATGATAATAAAATCAATATTATAAGAATTATTATTATATTATTATTATTATTATCTAGAAGAAAAAGACAGAAACAAAAATGATAATAATAGTAATAATAATAACTCTTTTTAGCATTATTGCTATTATCATTAACACCAAATTAAACAGAACATGATTATTGTCCAATGAAGCATAAAAATATAATATTCATTGTGTTTCAACAGTTTTTAAACTCATATTAAAACCATTTAACCTCCATTCCATTTAAAATCCCAGGTTTATACTAAGGCTTATTATACAGTAACTACAGGGACTTCAATGCAAACTGGTTAAGCTATTCTTAGGTTACAGAAGTGTGTAATAAACTCTGGGCCCATCGGTATATTCATTCATTTTGGGAGCATCTTTGTGATCCTTGATCAGAAACATCAATAAGAAACAGAATTAATTGAACTCTGTCCTAAAGGCCGCACCCTGTTCCCAGTAAAAGGTCAGAACTTTTCACCCGGTGACCAGCAAGCAGCTCCTCAAGTGTCCATCTGCACTTTAACCTTTCTGAGCTGAGAAGGAACGGATAACCTGAGTAGGTCTGTCTACAGTACTGACCACTACTGACCACTCCAGCACTTCACATGCTAATAACTGTATAATTTAATATATATAATATAACACTACACACATAACACTTTTAAATCCGGCCTGAAAGCATTCCTATCTGAGCAGCTTTCAGCTCAGTTTAAATGACAATATATTAAATTAATTTCTAATCCAATGTTTAATTTATTTTCATTTAAACCTTTTTTTAATCATTTACACACTGCGCTTACTGCCTGGATCTGACTTAAGTATCATGATATTATCATATCGTTCACCTTCGGTGAATCCCATCCCTATTATTCAGCCACAAGAGCATTAGTGAGGTCAGGTACTGGTGTTGGATGGTCAGTTCTGGGTCACTCCAACTCATCCCAAAGGTACTGGATGGAGCTCCATCACTCCAGAGAATACAGTTCCACTGCTCCACAGCCCAATGCTGGGGGGCTTTATACTCCTCTAGCTTATGCTTGGCATTGGGCCTGGTGGCCTTAGTCTCATATGACCACATAAGTCACACTTAAAGAGGGCAGTGTGGACGCTTTTATATAGTGTAATAACACACGTAACCTGCAAACTAACATTGTATAATAAAGTAATAAGCCACGAGAGGCTGTGGGTTACTGTGATTTTAGAGTTTAGACATGAGAGTAAAACTCCCTTCCCTATGATAAAATCGCCTTAAGTGGCTTATTGCTTTCATAAAACAACAGCAAAAACATAAAATATGATACAAATACACAATTTTTCAGAAAATAATTTGTTATTTATAATAATAATCGACATCAGCAAGTATTCCATTTGGTCACCAAATCACCACCCAGAGTCTTATTTAGCACCAATCCAGCGGCATCCTCTTCACACACTGGGCTGAATCTCAAACGGCTTCCCTGCTCCCTACATAGTGCACTACGTAGGAGTTTAAATACTGGATCCTGCAGCCCAACAGAGCAAAATACAGCTAAAAAATAGTCATTTGGGATTCAGACACATCCACAGTCAATAAATGATGCACTGTTTGGCTGTAGAGGCTAGAATTTCTAAACTTTCATGGCTAGAACACTATTTAGGGAGTACGGAGCCATTTACTAAAACATTTGAAGTGTGTAAAACATTCAAATGACATTTTTACTTTTATACTGCTGTTTTACAGTTAATCGTACCATAAGTACTTTAATACAAGCCTGAGATATTAATGATGGGTCTGTTTAGGTTGTTTGCTATCTGTTAGCTAGCTGACCAGCCCAGTTCTAGTTAAGAACATAAGTCTCCAGCCCCTCAGTTTAAATAAAAAATGCATTCTTACTTCATCAGTACACTCAGTGCTCCATGTGAGCAGCATTAGAGTCAAAGATTATTCCATCAACAGCACAAGGGTTGTTTTGTGCTGTGGTACAGTGATACAGAGTTCAGTTGTTGTGAGGCGGTTATAGGTGTGCGTATATTGTGGATTTTACAACGGCTTCGAACGCAGCTCAACCAATTGGATTTTAGGACCGGAACTATCCGTTTTATAAACAGTGATAAAGGACGGACGTACCCTTGAGCTTTTGTCCTGGTGCGATCTGCACAGAGAAGCCGAAATCAGTCAGTTTGATGTTCATGTTGTCGTCCAGCAGGATGTTCTCAGGCTTCAGGTCTCTGTGGACGATGTTCTGGGAGTGCAGGTACTGGACAACTTCCAGCAGAGCACGCATGATCTTTCTGCAAACAGGAGAAAAGCGCTTATACATACGTGCGTTTATAACTGTGGCTTTAGAGGTGATGAATGTGATCAAAGTGTCCGACCTGGTCTCCTTTTCGCTCAGTGTGACTTTTTCAGTGAGATAATCAAACAGCTCTCCTTTCTTCATCCTGAAAAAGTAAGAAGAGACAATCACATCTGTTCTTCTACAGCACGTTAGAAAAATGCTACTGTACAGTTATAAACTCTTAAAAAGATGGTTCTTCAGTAAAGACAACAGTTCCATATAGAACCACGAATACTGAAAGAAACATTTGCATGCTTAAATTGATCTTTGCTTGACGAAATGGCTCAGATTGATGAAAAATGTGTTGTATATGGTTCTATAGAGAACCTTATTGAAAATGGTTCTGCTGTTGTTATGATGTCAAGCTTGTAACAATAGCATAAATCTTTTTGATGCTATACAGAACTCTATACAACGCATTCTCCATCAGTCTGAAGAACCATTTCACCATGCAGAGAACCATATAAGCATGCAAATGGTTCTTTGAGTGTTCATGGTTCTATATAGAACCACTGTCTTTACTAAAGAACCCTTGAAGAACCATCTTTTTTAAGAGTGTACTGTATAGAATAGGTTGTATAGGGTAGATTGAACAGAGGTGGCAGGAGTACTTTACTTAAAAGTATAAATGAAAAAGTATAAAGTATAAAAGTATAACATCAGGTGAAAGTATTAAAGTATAAAAGTATTAAAGTATAAAATCTGGGGAAAGTATGAAAGTATAAAAGTATTAAAGTATAAAATCGGGTACAAGTAAAAAAGTATTACAGTATAAAATCTAGTGAAAGTATAAAAGTATAAAAGTATAAAATCAAGTGAAATTATAAAAGAGTCAAAGTATAAAATCTGGTGAAAGTATAAAAGTATAAAAGTATTAAAGTATCAAATCCGGTGAAAGTATAAAAGTATTAAATTACATGCTCATAGATAAACTTAAAGTTAAAAGTACAAGTTAAAAGTAAAAAAGTAAAAGTAGAAGTACAGGTATTCATTTAAAAAGAGTACCTAATTCAATTTTTGAAACATGGTCTTCTTTATTACGTGTTAATTAGAAAGCGAGGCATTCTTTTTATAAAATAATTCTTGATATTTTAAAGCTCTCTCAGTCATTTTATAATCTTCTACAGCTCTGTAAACATCGAAAAAATGTGTATTGTTATGCACGTATCTGCAACAAATGTACTTTTAAAACAACGATTCCAAACAGCAGTGAAAGGTAAAGTGGTCTTAATCAGTTAAAGTCATTTAGAAATATACTCACAAGTCAAAGACCAGGAAGAAGAAGGCTTTTGTCTCGTAGCAGTCCTTCAGCTGAACTGCAGAAACAACGCACATGTTTAAAGCTACGATGATGCAGTTTTGTTTCACTAACAAAGTTACGGCATGCAAATGTATGCAAAAGTTTGGGCACCCCAGACCAAATTACTGTTGCTGCACCACCACAGGACCACCGCTGACCAGACATCATTTGGCTGATGCACCAATACAATAGATGTTTCTTTTAAAATGGCCAATGATTGTAGATCAGTTATACGCTAGACAACGTCTACAGTCAACTCTCAGTCTTTGTCCCACAGTCAGCTCTCGTTGTTTGTCCTACAGTCTGATGTCAGTCTTTGTCCTACAGTCTGCTCTTAGTCTTTGTGCCACAGACTGCTTTGTCTTTATCCTATCATCTGCTTTCAGTCTTTGTCCTACAGGCTGCTCAGTCTTTGTGCCACAGACTGCTTTGTCTTTATCCTATCATCTGCTTTCAGTCTTTGTCCTACAGGCTGCTCAGTCTTTGTCTTGCAGTCTGCTCTCAGTCTTTATCCTATTGCCTGCTTTCAGTCTTTGTCCTACAGTCTGCTCTCAGTCTTTGTCTTACAGTCTGCTCTTAGGTTTTGTCCTAAAGTCTGCTCTTAGTCTTTGTCCTACAGTCTGCTCTCAGGTTTTGTCCTTCTGTAAGTCAATGTCCTGCAGTCTTCTGTCAGTCTTTGTCCTGCAGTCTTCGGTCAGTCTTTGTCCTCCAGACTGCTCTCAGTCTTTGTCCTAAAGTCTGCTCTTAGGTTTTGTCCTAAAGTCTGCTCTTAGTCTTTGTCCTACAGTCTGCTCTCAGGTTTTGTCCTACAGTCGGCTCTCAGTCTTTGTCCTAAAGTCTGCTCTCAGTGTTTGTCCTACAGTCGGCTCTCAGGTTTTGTCCTACAGTCGGCTCTCAGTCTTTGTCCTAAAGTCTGCTCTCAGTCTTTGTCCTACAGTCTGCTCTCAGGCTTTGTCCTACAGTCTGCTCTTAGGCTTTGTCCTAAAATCTGCCCTCAGGTGTATGAAGTGTGGATGCTCACTGATGTTTTCTTGGCCGCACACTTTCTTGAGGATTTCGATCTCCTTCACTGTGGCATCTCTGATCTCCTGGATCTCCGCAGGTGTCATCTTATCAGACGGAGTAATGTCTATGATCTTCACTGCGTATTCCTGTGTTGTGCGCTTATCTACACAGCGGCGGACCACGCTGCTGACCCCCCTGCAAACGACCAGAACAAGGCATTCAGAACATTGAACAAACTTCAAACAGTTTGCTGACATTTTTGAAAATATGCAAATATGAAACACTTCTAGGCTTCATTATTTCCTACAATTAAAATCAAAATAGAAGATGCAGGGAGTCACAATAAGTAAAAAGACTGGGGCTGCTTGGGTTCAGTACAATATAATACATACAATCTGAGACCTGGTTCAGAGCCAGTGTTGACCTTTAGGACTTTTAACTGCTCTTGGACTTTAGACTAAAATCCTTTAGCTTTGAGTGACCCGATACCTTAATTATGTTTATTTTATTAAAACGTATGATTGAAAATTCTTCCCAAACTTTACCAAATGTATCAGTAGAACTCAAAAACGATAGCTAGTACATGACTAGCAAACACAAATCTTCATTAAAAAACAAAAAAATGACTTAATTATTTCAGACTTTGGGACACTGCTGACCAAGTGGCCATGAAGGACATGGTTGCAGCCTCACTTCCTGCTCTAAAATGCAGGGGTGTGGCTAAAAAAGGCTCCGCCTAAGGACTCAAACTCTTTATGTTTCGATAGTGACATGAAAACGGGGATAGCATTTTTTTATTTAAAAATTAAGCTAAAAAAAAATCTTTTATTTTCACTTTAAAAGAAATCCAAATTTAAAAATTTAAAAGTTTTAAAAATGTAAGTATTATTTTCCCAAGTACATTATAAATGATGATTTTGTATATATTTAGCTTATGAGTATCTCTGTTTGTGCCTTGGGTTTAAACAGATAATAAAATAATCATTATAAATATCTAAGATCTGAATCCTTCATTGCTTTTTTCTTACCTTAAACAGGGAGTGAAATGTAATACAAAAAACAGCAGAAAGAGTCTAGAGTCACACTGAGGAGCATCAAATCACCCTCACGTTTATAAAATGTCTGAGTGTGGGACTTTAGGAGGGTCATGCGTCAGAGAGTAAATAGTTAACTGACTGACATGAGTAGCTCAGAAACATCTGTTAGGTAACAACTTCCACTTCAGAGTAAAACTGCATAAACAGAGAGGAAAGATCAGTAAATAATGAGCAAAGACGACGTATTTAAATGGCAATGAGTCAAATATTAAGTAACTTACTGACTGTAGCAGAACGTCATTCAATCAAACTGTGACTGTGACAGTGAACCTACACGAGTCTACTGAGTTTTATATGGAATGTTGATGATGGTAAAATAGTGGAAAATATGAAATAATACGTTTTCTTTGGGGACTATTTTGCCTCACAGCACCCTCCATATTATGTATCCCTCCACCATGAATGGATTACTATATATTAGTTCTCAAAACTATCATAAAACAGTGTCTCAGTCATCAGGCAGTGAATTCATAACCATTTCATGTAGTAAATTTCTGTGAGGGAGCTTTTAGAGGTGGACGTCAGGAACAATTCTGACTCGGTTAGTTTCTCTAGAATGGAGCGTTTCGCACCAAACCACTCTGAACGACTCTGTTTACATCTCAATCTTTTAATAATGCTGAAATTTTGGAAAATGGATGAAATTTCCCTTTAACTGCTATAGTTAGGGGCTGTAAGTGTTTTACAGCAATGTTAATAATATGTGAGAATGTGATACTGCTGGTTATCATAGTGACAGATAACTAGCTTTGTGTATTCATGCGCCAGGCTAATTAAAGCTCAGTGTGGTTTCAAGGGTTTTTAAGCAGCTGACTTAAAGTAAAAGGACGTGTGAGTGAAAATTTAAAGTAAAAAATTTGGTTAAAGGGCCAATTAGGTACCAAAAACAGTCATGATTAATTTCTACATGATCATTTTCCAACCTTTTTTTATCACATACAATTAAACAGGCTGTTTTTGTTACTGTACCTATAAGACTGATATATGTAAATAAGCTCTGTTCTGATTGGCTGCCCTGTATTGTGCCTCATTCAATTGAAAAAAACAGAGTGAAACACTCCTTAGAACTTCAGCAAGAGTGGGTGGGGCTAAGGTACTATAGGCTGAATAGGCGAATATAGTAAATGTGTTTTGTGACATCACAAAAACAATGCATTCAAAACAGTTTCCATATATGGTCTGTACGTATTGGGGAGCGAACAGCTTTAAAGACTTTAACAATGTTTACACACTAAACCAAACTCTTTTGTCTCATAAAACTGAGGATAATTAGGTTTTTCCATGAAATGGGCTCTTTAAAAAACATCCTCTCATAGTAAAACAGAGAGAACTGCAGTGGTGACTGGGCGAGTGGGCGCCGTGTCCTTCTCTCACACCCCACTGGAGGCATCCGCTGTGATCAGGTTATGTAAACGGCTCAGCGCTGACCAATCCACTGGCAGCAACTAGTGTTTGCACTGCTGTGCTAAACATTTGCACGTGATTGTGAGCAAAAAGACAAGACACGTGAATTATGTAAACAAGGCCAGGAGCCCTCCTGAGAATGAAGAGCGAATTACGACACTTGACCTTCTCGCAGCAGATTTCTTTGGGTCAGGGGGGAGTAGTCTAGGCAACCCAGTGGTCCGCAAAACTGGAGCTCTGTGCTAATGCAGCTGTATGCCAAAGTTTTATCACCCCTGGTCAAATTTCATGTGATCGGGCGAGTGGACGTCGTGTCCTTGAGTTAATACATCCTCTACAAAGACACACTTCTGCACATATTAATACACAATTACTGTTTATTTACTGAATTTAACAAAGTGTGGGGAACAAACAGAACATAAAATGTGTCCTGTGCAAAAGTTGCAGCACTTTTCATATCATATGTTTTACTTTTTTCCAATATTGTGCCCTAAAATGTCATATTTAAGTGTGTTGCCTGTGAAGATTGTGTTATTTTCCCTTAGGAATTTTATCAGCAGTGTCCAAACATACATAATAGACATCAATATTAATGCACTGGCCATATCAAACATGGTAACTGTATATAACAAAATGTTTTTCAAAGCACAGAAGGAAAAAGATTGTTAAAGCATGTCGACTCTGTTGTCTATTCTGGATTATGGTTATGTGATATACTGATGTGCATCTGAGCATTTTAAACTTTTAGTGTCTGACCACCTCCACACACCCTGACACTGTTTTATTTGATTTTAGTTCACTTTTAAATTGATTTTGGTATGTTTTAGTTACTGTATCACATATACTATTCTTTTAATTTATTTTATTATCAACTTTCACTTTTTAGTTACTGCCAAGTTATTGTTTTACATTTTCTATTCTTTTATTTATTTAATTAACTATGTTTGTATGTATTTTATTCCTACTTGATCTGTTTATTTATTAAGTTAATTTATTTTTGTGGTTTTAACGGTTTATATGATTTGATTGATTTTTTACCATTAAATGTACTTTTAATATTATTATTATTATTTTTTTAGCATTTGATGTGTTTTCACAATCTTATTTTTTCAATCCCTGATTTCTGTATTGTCCACATTGTAAATGATGGTCATCCTCAGTTTACTCCTTTTAAATAAAGGTTGACTGACTGATTGATATACATTGATAATATGTATTTACAAACAACAAACATGCTTCAGTACCAAACGCCAGTCGGTGTTGCTTTGAAAACGGAAATATCTATTAAAGTGCTCATATTATGGGAAACTGAATTTTCCTCGCTTTGTTTAGATAAAACAGTGACATTCATAAGAGACTGTGGAATGTAAACATGGTAAAAGTTTTAAAACGCACCCTTCACTCCTCAGACCATACAGTCCATATATGGAAACTACACTGCAAAAACAGTCCATTTTGAATTTGCTGGACTGCTGGTTGAATGAGGCACAGCCTCTCAGAACAAAGCTCATTTACATATGTAAGTCTTATATAAGGCCATGTAAAAAAAAAAAGCCTGAAATATGAATAAAGTGCGTCAAAAGGAACGTCTATCTGTTTTATTCTGTGCAAACCCGCCTACTTGCTCGTTGTAACGTGCTAATGCTAGCCAGCCAGCCAACGAGGGTGAGCAACTGTTAAGGACAGTGTATCGTGTTTGTTCACAACTTTACAGGGAGAAGATGAACTGGATGAAACAGCTAAGACTGACGGCCTGAGCCTGATCTTCAGTGACTGGACAGTGACCACTGCTGCTATAAAAAAATCCTAGAAGACGTAATTTTTTTTTGGAATTTCATTGTGTTTCCCATGCCATGAAAAAATGGGCAGAACACATATCAACAAATATAAACTGTCAGAATATATATCAAATAGATCAAATACAGGTCCTTTGCTCCTCACAAAATGGGCAAATTGTGACGGTGCGCAGGATGTTTTTCACTTTTGAAAAGCGAGAGGAGAATAGAGAGTTTCTCCTCATCCAGGAGCCGAAACTGTATGAGATCTTTCACCCACAGCTGGGATCTTTGAGCTGATTCTGGAGATGCAGCTCCACATTAGACGAAGCCCAAAACAAACAAGCTGAGTATCTTTAAGCGCATCTGACTCTTTGCTCCCAGCAGAACAGACAGGACGCTGGGCTACTGTCCATTTAGGAAAAGTGAAAGTGGCGTGAAGAGCTTCATCACTTCATTCAGACTCCCTTAAAGAGAGGACGAATAAAACAATATTGCATTTTGTGTGCAAGACACCATAAAATCTACACGCACTTAAATTAATTTACTGTTGTCCGCCTGCAGCGTGACTTATTATGAAGTTCTGTTAATGACGCAGCTCTGTGGTACCTTCCCAGAATCTCCTTCGGGTCATATTTGTCGTAGAACTCCTGAGCGCCGACCCAGTCAGGAATCTCGTCCGTTTTGGTCATGATGATGACGAAGCTTTCACAGGTTATCCAGGGAAACTGGGCCACAACCTTGGAGAGAGAGAGAGAGAGAGAGAGAGAGTGAGAGAGAGAAAGAGTGAGAGAGAGAGAGTTAGAGAGAGAGATAGAGAGAGAGAGAGAGAGAGAAAGAGTGAGAGAGAGAGAGAGTTTGAGAGAGAGATAGAGAGAGAGAGAGTTGAACTCTATATAACTCTATATACAGTGAACTTATCAGTGTAACAGCAGAAATTAAGTACATTAGGTGACAAGAGTAAGATGGTATAGTAACAGCCTCCAATAAACACCACTTTCATCATTATCTAATAGTTTGTTAACAACTGTTAATAATTAGGTCATAGTTACATATGCATTAATAAACTGTTCAATTTGAACTGTTAACAATTTACAAATTATTAACACTTATTTTAAATTGCAGAAACCAAATCATTAATAAGTTTGCTAATAATGATTTAGTAAATTGATACTCATAACCTGAAATATTACACACTTTGCGTAAAAACAAAAAACAATATGAAACAATTTTAAATGATTAAGTACTTATTTACAGTCCTGCTACTTTAAGATGCATAAACCTTCCCTTTAAGTTCAGTTTATCATTATGAAGTGGTTAATATTTTTTTAAATGTTAATAAACCTGATTTGCACCATGTTGTAAAGTTGCCATTTTATAATGTAATTATATGGGAGTAACTATTACACTGAAATATAATACATTGATAAAAAACATTATACAGTGCTTTAATTATTTCTACGTCACTGAATAAATGGTAAATAATTATAATCACAGCACATATTAATGCACAAATAATAATTATTGATATTGGATATTTATAAGGACATACTATTATAAAGTTTTGGCTTGGCTGATCAACCATATCTGGGATAAGTGGAAAAAATGTGCAAATATGATTTTTCACCAAACCTCTCCTTTATTATAACGTTCTCACTAACATTCTTTAGCGAAGACAGCAGTTCTAGAACCATTTGCATGCTTAAATGGTTCTTTGCACCATTCAGGGAGACTGATTAAGAATGTGTTGTATGTGGTTCTACATAGTACCTAAATGGGTTCTGCTATTAGTTACTATATGAAAAACTTGTAACAACAGAAGTTTTTGGTGCCACATAGAACCACTTTCAAAAAGGTTCTATATAGATCCAAATACAAAACATTCTACATCAGTCTCACCATGCAAATGGTTCTTTATAGAACTCTTGGTTATAAAAAGAGCCACTGCTTTTACTGCAGAACCCATCTTTTCTAAGTGTGTAGGCACCATCTTGTGCAGGGTCTTTTAAATAAAAACAAACCGTTTTTATCCACACAGCAGCAGAACCGAGCTGGGCTGTCTGTCCGCCCCCATGCGGACAGTTTGTGTATTGCATGTCACTGAACTGTATTTCCATTGAACACATTTTCCGTTCCACCTTAAATGGTACTGCAGTTATATTCTGTCACCTTTTCATTCCCTATTCAGAACGAGTTATGGAAATTAGACATTTAAAACGACAACCCCTCTTTCGTGTAACTATATGTGCGCATTAAAAGACATTAAAGAATGATAATAAAGAAAAATACACCGCTTTCTATTTGGATCACAGTGTCAGTTCAAACTATCCACTATCAGTTGTTTTGTCTGGTGACCACATTTACTACAGTGCGGTGACCTCATTTACTCACGAGGCTGAAACTGGCTTCTCGTTGAAAATGTTCCGTTCCACCTTAAATGATACAGCAGGTGGAATAAAATAAGAAGCTGGGGAATAGGCACCAGAGTGCAGCTGCTGCACCATTTAAGGTGGAACGGAAATTTCAAAGTAGAAGCTGGCGAATACAAAGCCAGACTCACGTAACTGCTGTACCATTTAAGGTGGAACGGAAAATTCAAACAACTAGCTGGAAAATACAAAGCCGGCGTCAGAATGTAACATTTACGGTGGAACGGACAATTGAGTAAGAAGCTGGCGAGTACTTAAGCTAGGTGACAGAAAATAACGGCAGTACCATTTAAGGTGGAACGGAAAATTCGAGCAAGAAGCTGGCGAATACAAAGCCGGGCGCCTGAATGTAACTGCAGAACCATTTAAGGTGGAACGGAATATTCCAATAAGAAGCCAATTTCCTTGAAAAAGCATTATCCTACGGTCTGCTAATACACTACGTAACTGCAGTACCATTTAAGGTGGCACGGACAATTGCATAAGAAGCTGGCTAATACTAAAGCCAGGTGACAGAATATAACTGCGATACCTTTTAAGGTGGAACGGAAAATTCGAACAAGAAGTTGGAAAATACAAAGCCGGTCGCCAGAATGTAACTGCAGAACCATTTAAGGTGGAACGGAAAATTCGAACAAGAAGTTGGAAAATACAAAGCCGGTCGCCAGAATGTAACTGCAGAACCATTTAAGGTGGAACGGAATATTCCAATAAGAAGCCGATTTCCTTGAAGAAGCACTATCCTACGGTCTGCTAACCTAATACATTATTCCATATAGTCGTAATACAGTCACGTTTAAGCAAGAAAAACACACCTCGAAGCATCAGGGTTTTCTGCTGTCGTCGATGCGTCCAGCCGCGCGGTCAGTCCATGTTTCTCAAGCCGGTAAAAGCGAAAAGGCGAGCAGGTTCACATTCACATCACAGGACGCAGAAAGGGCAAACGAGAATGTCACGATCCAAAAATAAAAAAAAGGCTCTATTAGACCCCGGAGCAGGTTCACAGCCGGGTTTAATGCCTTAGACGACATTCAAGAGCTATTAGCCCTCAGTCACACCCTCGGTAGCTCTCTGCTAGCGCTCTCATTCATTAAAGGGCCCTTCCATATCCTGCTTTTTTTACCCATATTTCATTTTTTACCCTGAGGACCGCTTATGACATTTCTACACCAAAAAAGTCATAATTCGTTTCTACATGCCCATTTTACCACCTCTCTTAATCCCTAAAGATTAAGCAAACTGTTTTTGTTGCCGTGCCTTTAAGACTAATATATGTTAATGAGTTCTGCTCTGATTGGATGATCTGCATTGCATTTCAGAAACATGAATGGTGCAGTGCTAAACCTTTGTAGGATGAATATATGTCATGTTGGTGTTTGTGACATCACATAAAATGGGCTGCAGCTGACTGGCCAGCCTGTATCATGGCATCCAAAAAGCAGCCTGTACTGAAACACTCCTCATAACTTAATTGTGAGTGGGTGGAGTTAAACTGCTATAATAGCCTGATTAGGCAGTAATACATAAATGCTTTTTATGACATCACAGAAACAATGAATTCAAAGCAGGCTGTTTCTGCAGCTTAGAATTAAACAGGCTGTTTTTGTTACCGAACCTTTACAAGTGTAATGCATGTAAACAGGATCTTCTCTGATTGGCTCGTTCCAAAAGCAGCTCAGCCCAAAAAAATGCCTTATAATGAATAGTTTTATTTTTTAACATTAGAGTAACAGTGAATTCAAAACAGGCCACGTTTCTACATGTGGACTAATGAGTGAACGTGAGGAAAATTCAGTTTTCCATTAAATAGGCCCTTTAATCATTTCATTAATCATTTAATCATATCGTGCATTTCTCTTGCACATTATTTTTCTCCCTGATGTCCATTTGTAACATTTTCATCCCAAAAATAACCATAATTAATTTTAACATTACAATTTTCTACCCTCTCTTTAACCCTAATGAATTAAATGGGTTGTTTTCATTACTGTGTCTTTAAGACTGACATATGTAAACAAGCTCTGTTCTGACTGGCCACCCTGTATCATGACATTCAAAAAGCATCCTGGACTGAAACAGTCCTGAGAACAAGAGTGGGTGGAGCTAAACGTCTATAATCGGATTAGGCAGATACATGTAAAAGTGTTGCTTTTTGTGACGTCACAGAAATAATGAATTCAAAGTGATCTGTTTGGGCAGCTTAGTTTCCATATCTGGACTGCATAGACTGGAGAGTGAACAGTATATTTTGAAACCTTTGCAATGTTTATTAGGCAGTAGAACACAGGAGGGAGTGTGTTATCGCGAAATAACATCACGGCTGCGATTGGTCGCCATAGATCATCACAGCCGTGATGTTACTGGCGATAACACACAACCTCGAGTGTTCTATTGCTTTTATACAACAGTTAAATAAAGTAATAAATAAATAAACTGGGTCGTGAACGCGGCCTTTGATATGTTTTAATGTTCACAGTTCCTTCACCAAATTATAGTTCCTTAACAAGCAGCTTGTTGCTACGTTAGAGTAATGAGCTCCGCCCACTCGCTGCACAGCCGGCAATTCGTTCTCCAGCTCCTTACACTAAATTCCCAAACTGTCATCACCACTGCGCAGCTTTTCAGTCGGCAGCTGTGACAGAAGAACAGCTAAACAACCTGGAATCAGCCAGAAATGAACCCAATACCATTCGCCAAACTAAATGGGCTGTAAGATGCTTTACAGACTGGCTGGACCAAAACAACATTAATACTGATCTGGCAAAAATTGACAAAACTGAGTTAAACTTGATATTGTGGCAGTCTAATGGCTCAGTCCAATTTGGTCAGACTCTGAAGATCAGACTACACGTTTGGCGAATGGTATGGGGTTCATTTCTGGCTGATTCCAGGTTGTTTAGCTGTTCTTCTGTCACAGCTGCCGACTGAAAAGCTGCTCAGTGGTGACGACAGTTTGGGAATTTAGTGTAGTCTCATCTTCAGAGTCTGACCAAATCGGCTGTCGGTCAAACGTGATCTTAAAAGTATCCATTTTCTGTTTGTGGCAAAGTAAGAAGTAAAAACGTTCAAATGGCTTGAGCGTCTCCTGCAGCTGTCAAAGTCGCTACTTAGCAATGGCGTCTCAGTGGAGTGATAGTGTTTGTGAAAAACCTGTGATGTTATGGTGAAATAACAGCACAGTTAGGACTGTGACTGAAACTGAAACAGTAGTTTTAGAGTTTGTGTTTTTGCTCAGTAAACAAGCACATGATAGCATTGCGCTATCTGAACGGTGCAAATGCTTATCATGAATCATAATTACAAAGTAGGTCAGCAGCACCTGCTTACAAGAGCTACTAATTAAAACAGGCCCGTGTGAAAGCACTGCAAACGGAAACGAAACTCGTAATGAAACAGCAGTTTTAGAGTTTATTATGTTTACATGTTTACATTAACATCGCAATATCTTTTCTGAACTATGGAAAGCTGAAATATTTATCATGAATCAGGATTAAAGCAGCTCATCTCACCAAAATACATAAATATTAAACATAGGTCTACAATTATACAGTGCTTCTGCTTTCACCAAAGAAATGCTGTTTAAATACTGATCTGATTATTCTAAGCCTCCTGTTGAGCTTCTGTAAAATTACACTTTATTCTGAATGTAGAATGTGGTGAGTGGCTCTCTATCTTCATTCCGATCTCACGACAGTCCTACAAAGGAAAAAGAATAAGGGAGATTACATTAGTGTGCAGAGGCATTCAGCGCCTGAGGGGTGCAACAATTCACAAAATTCACCACTTGATTCAATACCATACAGTGATGCCTCGATACAGTACATTTTTCAATACAGCAAAAACAAGGAGTGGCTAAAAATGTGTTGTTCTAGCCCTTTAAAGAGCTCATATCATGGAAAATCTCACCTTTTTAAATAAAAGAGTTTGATGAATTATGTAAACATTGCTAAAGTAAAACACCCTGCCTAGTCCATTCACACAAAAAATTAAAGTGCAAAAACAGCCGTTTTAAATAAACAGTTTTGTGGTGTCACAGAAACCAACTCATTCATATCAGCTTACAGAAGTTTAGCCCCGCCCACTCACCCTGCTCGGATTGCTTTTTTAATGAGGCATAGCCAATCAGAACAGAGCTCATTTACATATCATTGCAGTCCAAAGAAAAACAAGTATCTCCAAAACGGTAACTTTACAGGAGAAGGAAAAAACCTGCTTTACTTTTAATGTAAGTCAATGGAATCAGACTTTTTCCAAGTCATTTTGGGCCAGTTCTGTTCGTCCATTCATCATGAAATTTACACACAATGTAAAAAACAACAGGTATTTTCATATTATGTCAAAAACCGAAAAATGGAGATACGAGGTTTTATTCCGACAGCACACAGACACACACACTCATTTTCTCAGCCGCTTATCATTCTGGGTCGTGGGGGGGCGCGGTGCTGGAGCCTATACCAGCAGTTGTTCCAACAGCAGCGATATAGAAAAAAAAAATAAGAAACATTTTTTTTCTTTGGACAGCAACAATATACGAGTCTTAAAGACGCAGTACCAGAAACGGCCTGTGTAATTGTAAGGAATAGAGAGAGGTTGGAAAATGGTCATGTGGAACCAAATGACATAAGTGGACCTCAGTGGACAAAAATAAAATCCAAAAAAAAATGTAGGATATGGGCCCTTTAAACTGCTTTAAATAGAAAACACTTTTTCTTGAGCCAGAAGATGAAGCGCTGGGAAAATACAGGGTGATTCAAAAAGAATAATCCGATTTCAAAGTGATGTATTTCTCTTGTAAATCATTACAGAACAATGCAGTAAACTGTAAATGGTTTAAATGAGCATAAAGTTTATTATGTAATTGTACAAGTGCTCAATATGAACCTCCTCCAGCTGTACAGACAACATCAACGCCATAGTCAAACTCATCCCATACTGGATTGAGCATGTCAGGTGTCGCTGCACTCACGGCTCTTTCAGTGCGATTTCGGAGATCATCCAGTGTTGTTGGGAGTGGCACATAAACGGAGTCCTTAACGTACCCCCACAAAACAAGTCACACGGTGATCTGGTGGTGCTGGTGACCTCTTCATGCTCTGAGCTGTAGGAGGTTTACTGCCATACTGACAGTCAGAAACTCTATGACACCCTCTTTCAATGGGATTGTGATTGGTGACAAGGCGCCTCACGGTCGTAAAAACATGGCGCTTTGAAATCAGATGAATCTTTTTGAATCACCCTGTATTTTGGACGAGGCCATGGAGCTGATAAGCTCTCTCATAGCGACAGGAATGCTAAATATGACACTGAAAAAAAATGAGCTTATGCCACAACTTTTTGACAAATCTAAAAACACCACTATGTACATCGTATGACATAATTTGGAGTGAAAATAAATGTGTGATCTGATTAATATCATTACTAAAAGCTGAAAAGCACTTTCTAAGACACCTGCATCTCCAAATAATCAAACAGTCTTTAAATAAACATCCATAATAAGGAAACTGAAAGGAACGAGCAGAAGTGTACAGCGGGGTAGTTATAGCTGAACAAAACTATTTCTGAAATGAAAACTCAAAAGCTCAAAAAACACGAAAACTAAATCAAAACTAAATTCCACTGAAAAACTATCTTAATCTAAACAGCATTACTGATAAAAATACTTTATAGTTTTTTGTTTTTTCCGTGCACGAATGAGAGTTTATGAGTGTGTTTATGTGTTTGTCTTTGACAAAAGCTGGAGGCAGGCTGAGCTCAGTCTACTGCTGAATTAATTTTATTCCACACTATCAAATATCTGCCATCACAGTGCTAATCAAAATAATAAAACTATATAAAAACTATTACTTTTTTAGAAAAGTATCAATGCATTCTTAAAACTTACTGAAACTAAACTACAAAAACAAAAATGAAATAAAAACAAAAACTAATGAAAGTTTCAAACCACAACAACCCCAGTGCACAGCTGAACTCAGCATGCTATCATCACAATGTTGCTGTGATTGTTGCAACACATGTTCTTTAGGTAAGGGCTTTATGTTGACCCACTAATCCCAAAATACTACACCATAAACCAGACACACACCTGTCACGCATACGCACCGTTAGAGAATTTGCATTGTTTGAGCACTTCGCTAAATCCCTCGCACAGTTTGAGGTCGCTCTGTGTCTGAGCACACTCGATGAACTGCTTCAGCTCATAGGCGCAGGGGTTCTGCTGCGCCAGGTCCTGCTGGTACATGGGCTGCTGCTGCTGGTACGCGGGCTGACCCTGATAGGGTTCCTGCAGGATGGATTCAGATTTAGAGAACCATAATACCATAATTGTAGCACACACAGCAATACTGAACCTTAAATGTGACATAAACAGCCATACTTATAGAGCTGGCAGGTCTGGTCATAAAATAATGTTAGTTGTTAGGAGTTAGTGTGCACAGCAATTAAGAGCTGGTTTCCGAGACACAGAACACAACTAGTTGATTATGTAATAACTGTGGCAGGCCTACCTGATAGGTGACATCAGGCCTGGCAGCCTCTGAGTTTCCGTGGCCACCGAAGCCGCCGGTCATAGCGTGACCTATAGTGTGTCCCACAGCAGAGCCGACTGCTACTCCTGCTGCAGTGCTGGCCATCTGGGCGAACATTCCCGGCTGTCTAGGAGCTGCAGCCGCAGGAGGAGCCACTGCAGACGGAGGGGCATGAGCCGGTGTGTAGGACGGTGGAGGAGCCGCTCTGGACACTGGTGGGGGCGGTGGCGCTGGCCGGGAGGAGTAGCTGTATAGAGCAGCACATTAGCACAAATCTGATAAGTTCATCGTATCAGTAATAGCATTTTATATAGGAATGCTCTTCTGGGAAAAGGCGTTGTAAAGACATGAAACGTATAATGGTCTAAACATTCTGCTCTCCCTAAATACAGCAAACATGTCATCAAATGTTGGTTTGAATTAAAAGTGGGCAACATGGGAAAAATACAACATCATCATGACATCTGAGGACATCCTGGTATTATTGCACTATTCATATTTGCACCAACAATTACTGTACAGGTTTATTCTGCATACCTATCTTTTACATATATGTTGCTCTGACAGGACATACTACATCACTGTACGCTCTCCACTCACTCTGTATATATGTATATTATATTTATACTTGCATATCTATATTTTTTCAACCACTATACTGTCTTCCTGCACTTTATATGTAAATAATACTGTACACCGATCAGGCATAACATTATGAGCACCTCCTTGTTTCTACACTCATTGTACATTTTATCAGCTCCACTTACTATATAGGTGCACTTTGTAGTTCTACAATAACAGACTGTAGTCCATCTGTTTCTCTGCATACTACATATACACATATATGAAATACACAAGTTATTTTTTCAAGGGTTCTATGAGTTCATGAGTTCTATATAGAACTATTTCATGATGAAATGGTTCTTCAGATTGATGGAGAACATGCTGTATATGGTTCTATATAGAACCTTTTTGAAAGGGGTTCTATATAGTGCCCAAAATGGTTCCTCTACTGTTACGATGTCAAGCTTGCAACAATGAAAAAACCCTTTTTGGTGCCATATAGAACCATTTACAACACATCAATGAATCAGAAGAACCATTTCACCATGAAAAGAACCATTTAAGCATGGAATGGATCAATGGAGAACTCATGGACTGATTAAACTGATTAAATAAACCTTTTCAACTCCTTGAGACCACCGGTGGTTCCAAAACGCACTTCGTCAGATTCTTCATAACTTTCATATTTCATAAGCTACATTCAAAAGGTGGGTGTCACATCAGAGCTGTAACTGACTTTTTTCCAGTCAAATAGATGGGTGATGTCAGTATAATAAAAGAAGCTTAACTCACAGGTTTTTTTTTTTTCTACTGAAAGTCGACCCATTTTTCCACAAATCTGGGCTATAAACTATAAACAGATGGCGTCTCTTCAGTGATCTGCTCTGTAAAAATTATTTTTCTAAAATAATACAAAGAGCGTCTAAGATTTTTGGCTTTCAGCAGTAAATTGTAAGCATTCTGTTAATTTTAGGGGAACTTTTTAAGTAAATAAAATAAAAATTTATTTCACGCAGTTCCTGAATAATTTGCCTTACGATTTGGTCACGTAAATTCAGATGGAACACCCAAAATACACCCTGGAGAATACGAGGTTAAAATATTATTCATAACCATTTTATGTAGTAACTTTCTGTGAGGGAGCTTTTAGAGGTGGACGTCTGGTTCCTATCACCACCACTGTGAACAATTCTGACTCGGTAAGTTTCTCTAGAACGGAGCGTTTCACACCAAACCGCTCTGAACGACTCTGTTTACATTTCAGCCATTTCGGTATGCAGGTTTTTTTTTTAAATCGGTGGAGTTCCCCTTTGAGCTGGTTAACATGCTAATGCTGGTCATGTAGTGGCCGTTAGCCTAGCGGCTGCTAACCGGACTGGTTTAGGGATATTTTACCTCGGAGGAGCCATCCTCGATGTTCGGCTGCGACTTCCTCTGGGCATTTTTAATGATATGACTAATTAGAATTAAGTTAGAGAGTTTCTGACTCTCCTGGCTGCAGTTTATGTTGGTAAAGTTAGTTTGTTCTCCGCTTCAGTCTGGGTGCTCTGCTCTCTGCACGACCTTCGCGCTGTGTGTTAGCGAACAGGCTACATCCGGGAACTTCTGCAGTGTGTTACATCATTCGCAACGTCAGTGCTTTTATCTGTGAATTATAAATACTATAAAAATATTCCAAATTTGTTGACATTGATAGCTTTTGCTCCTTCTGTGGATCTGCTGATGAAACTTTGACTCACCTATTTTTTCAGTGTGAGAACAAACACCTTCTGATCTCATAGTTATGACTTAGAATGTCGTAATTATGACTTACTTTCTCATTATTATGACTCAGTATCTCATAATAGTGATTCAGTATCTCAAAATAATGAGATTAAATTAAATTTACTTTCCCATTATTATGAAATAGTAAGTAAGTATTATGAGATAGGAAGTCATAATTATGAAATGTTACTTCATAATTATGAAATGGCACAAATGCTGTCATTTTTATAGTTACAAGTCATTATTATGGAATACTTATATATACATATTATATATTATATATATATATTATATATATATATATATACGTAGATATATTTCTCCACTGGTGGAAACGGGTTTCCATACATTTACTTTGTTAATGCCAACCTAAATATCAACTGATACCGTGATATCGTGATAAATTCGGAAAATATCATGATATCGATTGGTGTCAGTATCGCCCGATACCCCACTGTGAAACTCTAGGGGCGCTTCCTGTTATTGACTCGCCTCGGAGAGAGCGCAGCTAACGCTAACGCTAACTTCTTTATGGCTGATGTTGCTCATTAGTTTCAAAAGCCATCGCATTAATTTGTCAATTCTCCACTGTTTAATTGTGTTTTTGAAAAACTGGATATAAAAATTAGCTGAAAGAGGTAAGATCTATTGTTATAATCGCCGTGTGAGCTAGCTAGCGATTATTAGCTGCATGGTTATCCTTGAACATTTCGTTAGCCAGCGCAGCAAATCGCTCTATAACTTACACAGAACTGGCTAAACGTCTGTTTTTCTTCGAGAAACTGGAAATATTACAGAAAAATAAATGCGTATGCATATGAACAAAGGTGGCTGCAGTGAGGTTAGGATATATTTAAAACTCTGGTTCGCAGCCTTTTTTGCTAGCTAAGCTAAGTAGCTAACGCTAGCCTGCTGATCAATAACTGCAAAAATAAACAGTGAAACATCTATCTGTGTATAAAATATTGATTCTGTAAATGTATGTACACCTTATTCCAGCACAACTGATCGCTTAGCATTGGCTTAATAATATTAATTAGGTTAGTTCGCTAGATTACCAGCTAACGTTATCAACGAAGCGAAAGTTGGTTGTTATTCGAATTTCCCGTTCCACCTTAAACGGTGCTGCAGGTACATTTGCAGCCTTGTCACCTACCAATAACTAACACAAACAAGCGTATTGCTACCTGTGTAGGTTAGCTAAATACAAATATAATCTAAATAAGATGTTTTTTCCCAAGTTCTTTAGCAAACGGAGTGGTTCTGTTTAGAGCCATGAGTTCTGTATGGAACCATTTGCGTGCTTAAATGGTTCTCTGCATGGTGAAATGGTTCTTAAGGTTAATGGAGAATGTGTTGTTTATGGCTCTGCAAAGAACCTTTTTTTTTGGAAAAGGGCTCTATTGGCTCTATTGTATACAAGCTTTTGTATACATCGTAACAATAGAGGAACCCTTTTTTAATGCTACAAAGACCAATTTAGAACACGTTCTCCATCAGTCTGAAGAACCATTTCACCATGCAGAGAACCATTAAGTATGGAATGGTTCTATATAGAATTCATGGTCCTAAATAGAACTATTCTATTTACTATAGAACCCTTGGAGAACCATCTTTTTTATGAGTGTAGCTGATTGTTGTGATTTGATGTCAAAACACTGTGATGATAATCATCATCATCATCATCATCATTATGCTTGTTAATAATGATCTTTCAAACAGTGTAGAAATCAGTAAAGCAGTTAAATATAATACAAAAGGGAAAGTAAAATTTAATTAAAATAGAATATAAAAAAATATTAAATATATAAAATAGGCCAATGTAAAACAAAGCTAAAAAATGCTGAAGTAAAAAGATTTTCAGCTGTTTTTGAACTTGGGGCAGGTGTGCTGAGTGCCTTTTCTCTTCCTTTTTGCAGATAAGGAGAGGGATGTCATACTACTCCTCGTCATCGTCTCGCGGTTCCTCCCGCAACTTAGAATGCAAAGTGTATGTTGGGGATTTGGGCAGCGGAGCCGCTAAAGGTGAACTGGAGAGAGCTTTTAGCTACTACGGCCCTCTGCGCAGCGTCTGGGTGGCGAGGAACCCACCCGGCTTCGCCTTTGTGGAATATGAAGACGCCCGGGATGCAGAGGACGCTGTGAAGGGAATGGATGGAAAGTAGGTGTAAATCCTTATGGATTAAGGTAGTGTGTCAGTCACATTTTGAAATTTCAGGGATCCAGGAATCAGCAAACACGAAGAAAATTATGTTTTATTATTGTAAAATCACCACTGTTTCACATGTGGATGAAGATGTTATCACTAAGAATACAACAATATGGCAAATCTGGGCAATGCCGATATACAGTATATTACATGCACATACTGGCCGATGCCTGTGCCAGTATCCAACGTTTCTGTGTACATATTTTTACGTCTTGGGCAGGCAAAACTGCACCGAGTGTTGTTTAATTCTGTCACAGGGCACAGCGCATTTTACAACCTACATTAAATTAAAGCCATGTTGAGACCACAGAAAGCCACAGTAGATCACATGTTAGGGCTGAACGATTTGGGGAAAATATCGAATTGCAATTTTTTGGTCTAACATTGCAACTGTGATTAAAATTGCGGTAATTTTCTAAATTAAGGTTCAGGCCTGTGTTTTAGCCAAGAACACCAGAATATTCGCTTTTGTAGCCTGAGACTTGACCCCTGAATGTAGTGTGCCGGACAGCCACTAAGTTGTGATTGTGATGTCACAGCTCTGGGGGTTTGGTTGCCTCTGATTGGTCTAACTAATCTGCAGGCAGTTCACAAGCTCTGTGTTATTAGTTAAAATTAGTAGTTCACTAATTTAGTAGTTAAATTTCCCCACTTAAAACTTAAGAGATGTTTATAATGTAGGCTATGACTAAAAAAAGCTCCTGCAATTTGAAAATTGCACTTTCTTATATTGTGATTTCAATATAAATGCGATTAATCTTTCAGTTCTATCATATGTGGTATGAACTTTATGCAAAGAAAGACAATCAGTCCTCTAGATAAACAGACAAATGCTAACGGTAACGTGATCTCAGCTAACGCAGCTAGCCTAGCCTTTTTCAACTTGTATTTTCCAGCTTCAAAACAGCCTGTGTAGAGGTAATAAACTGATGCCAAGCATGATGTGATGCTGAACGCTTTATTGCGAATTTGTATGGGTAGAGTGTAAAAATTAACTTGAATCTAGCTTTTATAGGCTCTCGCTGCCTCAGGTGCCAGAATGACTGCTGCACCTTTTAAAGTGGAATAGGAAAAGTCGAACAAGAAGCTGGCGAATTAGGAGCTGACTTCAGCTTCATATGTCTAATGCTGATCGTGTTTTTTTGACAGGGTGATTGGTTATCAGCACATCCTACACATAGTTTTAATGCTGATAGTATTTTCCCACACAGTGATTTAGACGAGGCTCAAGTCGGCTTCCTGTTCACCAGATTTTCCCGTTCCACCTTAAATGGTGCTTGAGTGCTTCATGGCTTTTAAGGATTTTAAGGAAAATTCCAACAAGAAGCTGATTCAAGCTATTAAAATATCATACCAATTTTTTTTTCCTGAGGGAGCCAATTAAAGGGCTGAGTAGCTGCAGGTCTTGTTTATGTGCGTATATATAAATTACAATGCATGCAGTACAGTAAACGCGTCATCAGATGTTGGTTTGATTATTGGCAGAGTGCTGATGATGTTTAAAAAAACAAATATCGGCCAATACCGATATGATTCCGATATCATTGTGTGTCCCTAGTCATCACACCTTTTTATTCATGTTCTTCTTCTCATGTTCCACGTTTTCAGGGTTCTATGCGGATCTCGGATTCGTGTGGAACTGTCCACGGGGATGTCCCGCAAGAGCCGATACGGCCGACCGAGCCGCCGCCCGTTTGACCCCAGCGATCGATGCTATCAGTGCGGAGACAGGGGCCACTATGCCTACGACTGCTATCGCTTCAGCAAAAGGGGACGCCGGAGCAGGTACAGCCTTTCTGACAGGCATTCTCTACTGTATTCTATTATATTCTATTATTTATCCTACTTTATTATATTCTATTATGCTCAATGATTCTCTATTGTATTCTATTATTCTCTAATATTCTATTATACATTCTCTATTGTTTTCTAGTGTATTTTATTATCTACTATGCTCTGTTGTACTCTATTGTCTATCATGCTTAGTTGTTTTCTATTATATTCTATTATCTGTCATGCTTAATCGTTTTGTATTACACACCGATGTGCCAAAAGTGATGGGATAGCAGTATGTAAATTGATTATGAAGTGGCGTTACCTCTGGGGACGGTTTGGGACGTCCACGCCTGTATAAGTTGTGAGGTGTTACCTTGTGAGTGAAGTTACACTGGCCAACGTGCTCATGGCAAGGTGACGTGAATTATCAGCATTCAAACAAGGCATAATAGTGGGTGCCACGTTGAGTTGTCGAGTTGCTGCACTTCGCTGGGCTATAGGGGGTCCTACTTTAACCCTGTTCTTCAGTGGTCAGGACCCCCACAGAGCAGGTACTATTTGGGTGGATCATTCTCAGCACTGCAGTGACGTTGACGTGATGGTGGTGTGTTAGTGTGTGTTGCGCTGGTCTGAGTGGATCAGATACAGCAGTGCTGCTGGAGTTTTTAAACACCTCAGTGTCACTTCTGGACTGAGAATAGTCCACCAACCAAAAATACCCAGCCAACAGCGTCCTGTGACCACTGATGAAGGACTAGAGGATGAGCAGCACACACTGTGCAGCAGCAGATGAGCTGTCGTCTCTGACTTTACATCTACAAGGTGGACTGACAAGGTAGAGGTCTAATAGAGTGGACAGTGAGTGGACACAGTGTTTAAAAACTCCAGCAGCACTGCTGTGTCTGATCCACTCATACCAGCACAACACACACTAACACACCACCACCATGTTAGTGTTACTGTAGTGCTGAGAGTGATCCGCCACCCAAATAGTACCTGCTCTGTGAGGGTCCATGGGGGTCCTGACCACTGAAGAACAGGGTAAAAGGGTGCTAACAAAGTATGCAGAGAAACAGATGGACTACAGTCTGTAACTGTAGAACTACAAAGTGCACCTATATAGTAAGTGGAGCTGATAAAATGGACAGTGAGCGTAGAAACAAGGAGGTGGTCATAATGTTATGCCTGATAGGTGTATATACTTTAATACAATAAACACTGTCTTTCATATCACTTGTATGTTATTGTATTGATATGTTTGTCCTGTGGATGAAGCTGGGTAAAAAAGCAAAAATATAACATCAGAATACTTAAAAGCATTTTTTACAATAGGCTGCATGATATGGACATAAAACGCAATGTTCCTTAAAGAAACTGTATATATTACTCATTGTTATATTGAGCACTTGAATGTGGACTAGAATTTCCTCTCGGGAGGACAGTGAACTAACTAACTAACTTCACTACCCTGTTGAAAGACATTCACAGCTTCCTGATGATGTAAAGTAGTTTCCTGTTCTAAAACGACTGGTGTGTCTTGTGGTTTTGACAGTGACTGAAGCACCATGGAAGATTATTGAAGTGTTGAGAGGTGCCAAAAATAAGCACATTCAAATGTCCCAGTTCAACTCTACATTTTCAGTCTGTGGTACTTGTACAAAACTGTTTTGGCTGTATTTTCCTTCTCGCAGGTCCCGATCTCGGTCCAGGTCCAGATCAAGAGGCCGACGCAACCGCTCACGCTCTCGAAGCCGCAGCAATGATCGGTTAGTAATTGTATTATTATTTTCAATCTGAAGTATGTGGAATAGCCACATTAATATAAAATAAATTCTTCTTTACAGTACAGTGGTCATTATGTATTGAAAAGTGTTCAGTAGGTATGAACTGGGTGGTCCATGATAATTCGGAAAAAAAGTGGGTTTTTATTTTTCTGGCAAATTTTTTACTTCATTTTGTCGTTCAGTGTTAAGTTTGAACCCTGGCTAAAGGACATTTTACTCATAAACTGGTGTTGTAATGCGTAAGACGTTGTCATCATCTATTGAAGTGGTTTATTAACTTTAAGAAAATTATATCAAAAAAAGAAACTACATTAGACTGTGCAGTGGGTACGTTACTGCACCTAAACCCTCTAGAGCTTGTGTAGTTCCAGGTTGCGTTGTGTTGATTTGGGAGCAAATAATATATTTGGAGAAAGAAAGTGAGGATGCTAACATTGTCTTTTGTGTTTTCACAGGAGATACCGTTCTCCATCTTATTCGAAGCGCAAGAGCAGGTAAGCTGCCAACTAGATTACAGTGGTAATAGCTGCCATTTTGTCAAGCAAAGGAGTTTCGTAGTGGTTACTGAATAATTTATAGTAGATACAGAATAGTGTACATATATAGTAATTACCGAGTATAGTACTTATAGTACTTAATTCATGGATGCTGAATAATTAATGGCAGTTACTGTACAATATATAGTTTATATTGAAAAAAATCATAGTAGTTATTGAATGTCATAATCACTATGGAATAATTTGTAGTATATGCTAAATAATTCATAGTAATTACAGAATAATTAATTGCTGTTTCATTTCTGTATTAGCCAGAGATGTTCACTTTATGCAAGTACACGTCAATTAAGGATTAGTCTTCTAGAGTTGAAAGCTGAATAATTCATAATAAATGCTGAATAATACATGATAGTTATTTCATCATTCATAGTGTATCGCTGTTGTCGGAAGAAAACCTCGTATCTCCATTTTTGTCATTTTTCAGTTTTTGATATAATTTGAAAATACCTGTTGTCCTTTGCATTGTGTGTAAATTTAATGATGAATGGACCAAAAGAAACAACCCAAAATGACTTTGAAAAAATTCTGGTTCCATTGACTTACATTAAAGTTAAGTAGGTTTTTTCCTTCTCCTGTAAAGTTACCATTTTGGAGATACAAGGTTTTCTTCTGACAACAGCGATATGTTGAATAATCCATAGTAGATGCTGTAAAATCTGTAGTAGATACTGAAAATTCATAGTAAATACTGAATAATACATCATAGATAATAATTCGTAATATTAATAAGTGAAAAGTCTTCAAAGAAACCTTAGGCCTTAATTATGCTCGTTTGTTTGTATTTATTGATTAGTAAATGAAGGCCATGTTGAGCCCAGTATCATTCGGCTCAAACAAACTAACTTTCCTTGTGTCCTAACCGTTAAGGTCTGGTTCTCCAGCCCGCTCTAAGTCCAGGACTCCTGTTCGGAGGTAAGGCATCGGTCCATGACCATTAGCACTTGTTATGCTCTTTGTGATCCAGTCCTTACTTCAGAATTGGGTTTGTTCTCCTTTCAGTCGCTCTCGATCTCGCTCTCGCTCCAGATCGGCCTCGCGCTCTCGCTCTCGATCCAGGTCCGGCTCTCCCAGCCCAAAGAGGGACAGGTAATTTTTTTTTTTCTTTGAGGTTTCTCCAGCAATTTCATACCTACTTTACCTTGTAATTCTTCTGATCAGTTGTTTGATTATTTAAAAGCATGTTTTTTTGTCGATGATAAATGAAATGATGTGGATAAGAATGTGTTTTAGATCCATTTCTTTTATAAATTGAGACATACAGGTAGAGCTAGATTAGATGAACTTGCTTCTTATAGTTGTAGAGTTTGGTTTAGTTCACCATACATGCACACAGGAAGGCGGGCTTGCTCCAGAGGTAAGCCAGCCTGACTACGCAGATGGACGACCTTCGACGGAGATGGACGGACCCAGCAGTTGCAGGGAAGGCGGAAAATTAGAAGTTAGGGATTTTGACCAGCTCCAGAAAATAAGCGCAGCTCATTGCTATCATATTTAAACTCCTGTACAGTGGCTGGGGATCCTAACCCAGTCTACAGTGACCTGTCCAGGCCCATGCTTAGATGCAGAGCTAACTCACATACATACTTCCAAGAGCTAGTAGTTTTTTAGGGTGGTGGGGGGGGGCGTGTGATAAAACTTGGGGAATCTTCTCTTCTCTCTTCTCCCTCAGATTCAGCCTCATGTTGCTTAGCTACAGATCGCAAATCTCCAAAAACAAAACACAAAAAACAAAAATGTCATGATCAGACTCCGGTGACCAATTGCTGCAGGCTGTTCTTGTTTTTTTCTAAAGAGTGTGGGAGTCGACGGCTCAAGCACTGACCAGGGTTCATCCTTGCCGTGTTAAGCGTCCTCCAGGAGTGTGACAAAAGAGCTTACCTGAGATCAGCCTCCGCCACGGTGATTTAAAGAGGTCGTCCGACGCACAATTCTGACGAGACGCCTCCTGCGCGTACACAAACAGTTGTTCCACCCACCCCACTCCTATCCCTGAACCCATGCACTACTACTACTCCTACTACTGCAGACCAGAATGCCCCCCCTTCCCTCCAAAGCTCCGCCTTCTTGCTTAGCTTCTGAGAAGGGTGTGTGAGAGAGAGAGAGAGAGAGGAGAGAGCTGGCGAGAGATCAGACTTCAAGACCCTCCGAGTGTGTCTTCGAGTTCTAGCATCCGTCGCTTCTCTGTATGTTGTTTCCGCCACTGTCTCCTAAAGGTAACCAAAACCCAAGAGTTAATGTCCTTCTTGATATGAGCCCTGGTTTTAGTTTAAAAAAGAAACACACAGATTTTTTTGTAAACATTTGCTTAATATTGAGCGTGTGCACAGCATGCACTAATTAACACCGCTGTGAGTGAGTGAGAGATACAGAGAACCTCTCTGCTTCAATACTGTCTTAAGACACCCTCGTCGACTTGCTCATCACCATCATAGGCGATGTTCCATTACTGTATTAGCCAGAGATGTTCACAAGTCATTTTATGTGAAGACGAATCAATTAAGGACTAGTCCAAGTCGAGTTGCGTATCAGTTAATGACTAGTACGAGTCAAGTTGCGTATCAGTTCAGGACTAGTGTGAGTAGAGTTGCAAATCACTTAAGGACCAGTCCGAGTCGAGTTGCGTATCAGTTAAGGACTAGTCCGAGTCAAGTTGCGTATCAGTTCAGGACTAGTGTGAGTAGAGTTGCAGATCACTTAAGGACTAGTCCGAGTCGAGTTGCGAGTCAGTTAAGGACTAGTCCAAGTTGAGTTGCGAGTCAGTTACGTACTAGTCCGAGCCGTGTTGCGTATCAATTAAGGACTAGTCCGAGTTGAGTTGCTAGTTAATTAAGGACTAGTCCGAGTCGAGTTACATATCACTTAAGGACTAGTCAGGAGTCGAGTTGCATGTCACTTAAGGACTAGTTTGAGTTGAGCTGCATATCAATTAAGGACTAGTCTGAGTAGAGTTGCGGGTCAATTGAGGACTAGTCCGAGTTGCGTTGCGAGTCGATTAAAGACTAGTCAGAGTCGAGAGTCAGATGAGGGCCAGTTCAAGTGGAGTTACTAGTCAATTACAGACTTGTCTGAGTTGAAAATACCTTTACTTTTTATACTATAGTTCCTTCACAAGCATGTACTTTTGTGCCTAAGTAGTATTTAACCAATTTACATCTACTTTTACTGAAGTACAGAAGCATTGTACTTAGTCCACCTAAATATCTAGATCCAAATATCAGTCCCAATCAAGACCTTTTTTTGCAACCAAAGTTTTTTTTAATAAATCGTTTGTTAATGCCGATATACTGAAGTGCGTTCCTTTAGGATGAATCCGCTCCTCGTTGTCCCTGTGTCCTGCGAGTAGGGCCTGCGCACGTTTGAGTCATGAGGTGAAGTCGACGAGGGCACGTTTAGCAGTATTGAGATGGAGGGAGAGTCTGCATGTGAACATAAGCAGCACATGCAGCGCTGTTTGTCTGTATGTTTGTGTGTTTCAGTGTTTCAATCTAACCCTGGTTTTAGGGCTTCTTTGGGTTTTTCTCACATGAAAGAGGGATTCCAACTACAGTAATTAGTGGATGTGTTCCTGGTGGTATTGTTAAAGAAGAGAGAATGAGGATTTTTTGTATAGATGGGTCGTGATACATATGAGAGCAGTGTTCTTGGGTTCTGAACTGTCATGAGATGAAAGCACTCTTGATGCTCACGGTCAACAGCAACCGGCAAACTCAGACTTGCTTGAAGCAAGTCGTCGTCTTAATTCTGTGTTTTAAGTTACTCTCAGCTCTGTCCCTGTTCTCTTATTCTGTAGCTTATTCTGCACTGTATGAATCAGAAGGTAGGCAGTCATTTTTTAAAGGGTCCATATCCCACATTTTTCTCGCATTTTATTGTTTTGTTTGGGTTAATGCAGCAAAAACAGTCGTAAGTCACTTCTGCATAATCATTTTCCAACCTCTCTTAGAATTAAACAAGCTGTATTACTGTGTCTTTAAGAAAGATACAGGTAAATGAGCCTCTTCTGATTGGCTCATAGACATTGGACTTAATTTATAAAGCAGGCCAGGTTTAAATACTTCTTATAACTTTGGTGTGAGTGGATGGGGATAAACTTCTGTAGGCTCAGTAGGCGAATATATGTAAATAATGAATATTAGTATGAGTGTTTTTGTAGCTAGCTACATCAAACTGTTATTTTAAAATGCATGGAAAGGTCTGTTTTTCGTGATATGGGCCCTTTAACATTGAGGAAGCCGTAGATTCTTTCCCACGAGGTTTTAGTGTTGTCTGATTTAAGGGTGTCCCTGTCAGTTATTTTAGTAATCAATAAAGAAGTGTACTGATTACATAGAATAGAAATTTTTTTTTTGCTGTGCAAAAATGTGCAAAAAAATGGCAGCCAGGAAAATTGTTTAAAACTATTTATCTGGGCAGTAATTGTGTTTCTGCCAGCAAAAACATTATATAACAATAGAATAAACACAGATCATTCGAATAAATATGGTTAATCCAGAGGAGATACATGCATGCAATTTTTTCTCTGTCACGATTACCAGATTTTACAGAAGATAATTTATTAAAATTTAAGTTAACGTCATGTATGTGCATCTGCTTAGTGATTATTTTGTATGAAAAAAAATACATCTGCAGGTGATTAGCATGGCAGGTAAAGCCGTGTTCAGCAGTGTGAAGATTCTCCACAAGGGGGAGCCATTAGTGCTGCTTTAGTGCGCCTCACCGAATCCCACAAATGCTTGTGGTCGCAAATTGTATGTATTTAAAGTAAAATTAAATGTTTGTTGCAATAAAGGCGTGTATGATTATTCAACTAAACACCAAAATAATTGTTAAATTTTGCTATTATTAATATAAACGATAGTGACAGCCCTAGTTTCCTGTCTTCTCAATGCACATCAACAGCACTTGATTAAATTTAAAGTATTGGTTAGATAAACTAGGTGTTGGATGGTAATTGTAAATATACAGCTAATCACAGGGATAGTTTATTTGTATTAATTCTAATGTTAGTGTTTATTTGTACAGATAAATAATTTGCTTTACAGAACAAGATGTCTAAATTGGTTTACATAGTACTGTATATATAAAAAGGCTATTTAAAAAGTTGGCTTGGCTCAGAAACTTGGCTCAGGTTTTATTTCATACTGCAAGAGAGAGCAGTAGGAGAATTTTTAAACCTGTATTATTTATCATGAAAACTGAGAACGAATCGCTGCTGATTTTATTTGAAGATCAACGTAAGCCGGTTCAGCTGATTGACAGCCCTAGTCAGAATATTTCTTCAGTGAAGGATTTCCAGAGCGTTTCTGATGAGAGTGCAGTCTTGTAGCAGAGCCGTTAAAGGAGAGCCGGGGCGGAGCTGCGAAAGGTTCTTGAATGGCTGTGGCTTTGTGTCAAATACGCGTTCTCTGCACTGAATCTGTTTTTTTTCTGTCTGTTCCAGCCGCTCCAGATCCCCCAGCCAGAAAAACAGCCCCACCCCTGGAGACGAGCGGCAGGAGAAGAACCCCTAACCCAAATCACTTACCTTCCTTACCTTCTTATCTCGCTTAGCTTTCTTCTCCTGTACCTTCTGTCGTATGACGTTTCTGTTTCGTTCAGTTCTGTTTTCCTTTTTTTTTGTTTCCCATGACATGAAAATAGTAGATAAGTTTATTTTTGCTCTTTAATTATGCATTTTTTGTATTTTTCTTTCTTACATAGTGACTAGAAAGAAATGATAGTAGGTATAAAAGGGCTTCCTTTTTTACCCCTCTGGTTGGTTTGTAGATGTACACTGGAAACGAACAAGAAACGAATAAAGAGTTCATGGCATGATGTGAAAGAATTTGGTGAACATACGGCAGAGTGGAGAACGAAGGGAAGGTTGTGTGAAGTGGAAATTTGTCTGGTTGCCTTGTTTACATTTGATACACAGATTTCAATGTGAACAAACTGGCTATTTCAGATACAGCGTTAAAATATTGATTCATGTAAATTAACAGATCATTCTAGAAAAGTATCTTTACAGCATCCCAGTAATGCAGTAGATTTCTTTTCTATAGTAGCAATTACATTGTTACATGTTACTGGAAACCTGGGTCATAATTTACATAGTCATTCAGAGAGGTTTGGTGTGAAATGCTCCTTTCTAAAGAAGCTTCACAGTGGTGGTGATAGCAACCAGACGAACACCTCTAAAAGCTCCCTCACAGAAAGTTACTACATGAAATGGTCTTGAATACGCCGACTAATGACATTGTCTTATGATAGTTTTGAGAAGATTTTGATTAAAAATCCATTCATGGTGGAGGGATACATGCAGACTGTCATATAGTCAAAGAAAACATACATTAAACTCATGAAACTCAGAAGACTCGTGTAGGTTCACTGGGGGTTTTGGATAGTAAATAAAATGTCTATATTTGTGTTGTAGTCATGGTGACCCCTGGTTCCTATCACCACCACTGTAAAGACATCTGAACCATTTCACACCAAACCACTCTGAATCTCTCTGTTTACATCTCACACACTGAGTTATGCAGAAATTTGGAAAAATTGTTACTTTAATATGAACCGTTTAGCCATTTGTTGGGTTAATTTACTGTTTCAAAATTAAGAACAGATGTAAATCTGGATCACCATCTGAAACTTCACACACTGGGTCGTTTGCATGTCAGTAAAATTAGAAGTGTGTGGTAGTAACTGGTTACATGTCATATATTCAAATGATATTCAAGTATACTAGAAAGTGCATTTTACATTTTAGTCATTAATCTTTTATATCTAATTAAAGTTAATTAAACGGAAAAGACGATTAACAATCTTTGGTTTTTATGCTGAAAGATCCATCATGAAAAGTTCCATTGCAGTTTTGTAAGGCACTCTGTACCTAAAGGGGAATTCCACCAATTTTCCAAAGTTTTTGCAGAATTCAGTGTTTGAGATGTAAACAGAGTAATTCAGAGTGGTTTGGTGTGAAATGGTTCAGATGTCTTTACAGTGGTGGTGATAGGAACCGGGGTCGGTCGCCATGACTACAACACAAATATAGACATTTTATTTACTATCAAAACTACCAGTGAACCTACATGAGTCTTCTGAGTTTATATGGAATGTTGATGATGGTAAAATATTCCAAAACTATCATGAAACAGTATTTCAGACATCAGGCAGTGAATTCATAACCATTTCGTGTAATACCTTTATGAGAGGGAGGTTTTAGAGATGGACGTTTGGTTCCTATCACCACCACTGTGAACAATACTGACTCTGTAAGTTTCTCAAAAACAGAGCGTTTCACACCAAACCACTCTGAACGACTCTGTTTACATCTCAACCATTTAATTATGCAAAAGTGTATAAAAAATGCTACAGTTTTTGTATTTCTAGCAGTTGCTTATGAACAATTTACCTTTAGTGCAGTCATTATTTCACTGTAGCAGTACCAAAGTGCAGGTTTGTCTGCTGTGCTCACTTCTGATTACATTTGTATGTGAAATTAAATTCTAAGTTATATTACTTGAATTTAAAGATATGTTGGGAAAATGATGTGGAGTTACTTTGAATGCACATTTTAAATGTAATGTCTTTAATTACAACCTACTCCGAATACAAGCACACACCAACTCTGAACACATTCACACAATAACATTCTGAATAAGTACATATATTAGAGGTGGGCGATATGGCAAAACGTAATGTGATACGTCAAGAAGTTTTATGATACATGATGTGTCATGATATTTTATTTTTCTGAGAGCAGATAAGTTAAAACCAACGTATTTTTAAAAATAGTATCCAAAACTATGGATCCTACGGAGCCCCTGAGGGGCTTTTTTTAGGTAAAAATCTGGTGTGCACCAGATACTATCAAGTGAGCACCTGATACTATGTGGTGAGCACTCGATACTATCAGGTGAGCACCAGACACTATGTGGTAAGAAAAAAAAATACATATATGCATAAACAGTGCCGGTGTTCACTGGCAACAGGTGGCACAAGAACAAATAAAGCTACTTAAAGATGATAAGGTAAGTTTATTTGTTCAGACAGCTATACAAACCTTAATACTTTACAAAGAGATATAGCTAAATGTAGGCTGCCTTTGCTATATACAGTTAGCTATAAACTATGTAAAAAGTCCCAGCTGCTGAATGAGGTGGTGAAACTGTCTGTGCTCCTTTCACTTTTCCAAAGTGGAAAGTAACCCAGCCAATGGAATCGTTTATCCGTTTTGCGAGGAGGAAAAGTTCTCTTTGTCACTTAAACTTGAAGACATTTTGCCCACTGGCTCATTTTTGTCGCGGGTGTGTATAGTTTTAATGCAAAAACATGCATTGCGTAGAGAACAATGCAAGCCTTAGAGCTACCTAGGTTAGGGCAGCCTACATTTAGCTATATCTCTTTGAAAGGGACAAATTGGTATATTATTAAGGTTTTTATAGCTGTCTAAACAAGCTTACGTTATCATCTTTAAGTGACTTTATTTGTTCTTGTGCCACCCGTCAACACTAAAAAGTCATAAATGTTTTCTTCCATGACGAAATGACGAAGGATAACAAGCACAGCCGGTGTACAGAGTAGTGGTCTGTGAAGTCATGATACTATGGAGCCCAATGAACCCTGACACAGTTTATGGATATGCAGATGCACACACACACATTTTTTCTCACCATAATATCTGGTACTCACCTGATAGTACTTGGTGCTCACCTGAATGTATCGGGTGCTCACCTGATAGTATCAAGTGCTCACCACATAGTATCTGGTGCGCACCAGATATTTACCTTAAGAAAAAAATACACCATGTTCCTTTTACCTACACCATGTCCCTTCAGGGGCTCCGTAGGATCCAGTTATGCTCTTAGTAATTGAGCCTGCATTAACTGTTTTTTGTTTTTTTTTACTACTGGTGAAACCCCCTACATATATATGTATATATATATATATAAGGTTGACCAGAACATACTATTTTTCCCTCTCCTTTGCAGTTCATTGTAAAACTCAAATAACGCATCTTTGTAAAATTATATTTTGCTATTCTGTGCTTTTCCAACAACCGATAAACGAGAAATTGCACCAGCCAATCAGGGCGCGTCTTGTGTCGTGGTATGTTTGCTATTGGCCGTCTGTGTCGGCCGTTTCCTCCAACAGGAGGTGGCGGTGGGCGGGTTCCCAGGTTCTCGTATATTTCGTCCATTTTCGTTAGCTGGCTGTGTGGAAAAGCTAACGGGACGACATGGCTACGCAGACGGCGCGGTACTACAGCGAGGGCGGCAGGGCGACCAAGCGCCAAAAAACCGACAACGACGGCGGAGTGGCAAGTGTCAGGGGCTCATTTGCCTCGAGGGAACGGTCTCCGTTCCTCCGGCGCTTTTGGTTCCGTTCAGTTTTTGATGCTAAATTCGCTGCAGGCGCTCGGAAGAGCAGTTAGCCCGTTAGCTAATAGCCGTGACCCAGATTAGCTGCTCGCTTAGCGTTCTTTGTTTGGCTTTTTTGGGGAGGCTTAACGGTACCAGGCGGGCTTTTATAGCACGGATTTGTTCAGAAATGCAGCCTTAGACTAACTAAAACGGCAGAAATGCAGCTTTACGGCATAACTAGCTAAGGTTTCGTAGCTTTGAAGGCTGCTAGCCAGTAGAGTAGATGAATGAATGTAGCTATAGCGAGTTAGCAGTGCTTACAGCCTCGAATAGTTACGCCGCTACGAGCCAGACTGAGCCGAATGTTCCGTTCCTCCTTAAATGATGCAGCGGTAGCTCAGTGTAACCGATGCACTGTTTAAGGTGGAACGGAAATTCGAAAATAGAAGCTGGCGAATATGAAGCCAACTTCAGGCCTGTTTCTTAGCTACGTTGTTTGTTAATAACCAGAGTAACGAAGAGTCCCTGCTTATTCGTGATTGTTAAACATTATTGTATGTGTAATCAAGTTAAGTACAGTTACAGTGGAACCAGGGGTCACCATGACTACAACACAAATATAGACATTTTATTTACTATCCAAAACCACCAGTGAACCTACACGTGTCTTCTGAGCGTTTATGTGAAATGTTGATGAAGGTAAAATAGTGGAAAATCTGAAATGGTAAAGTTTTTGGGGACTGTTTTGCCCCATCCTTACCTCAGAACCATTCTTTCTGGACCTCATCACCACTGCTGTGAACCAAAGCTCTCTGAATGACTTTGTGTACTCAACTGCATAATTATGAAGGAATTATCAATAATTGGTGGAGTTGCCCTTTTAATTTTAACCATTCTGTTCTGCAGGAGGGCTACGATGACCCTCACAAACCTCTTCCATCTCTTGTGGTCCATGTAAGAGGGCTGGTGGACGGCGTGTTGGAAGCAGACCTCGTCGAAGCCCTTCAGGAGTTTGGAACCATTAGGTGATATGCATGTTGTAACCTGCCTCCTTTTCTTTAGATGTCTTGCGCTTTGAGGAATTAAGCCGTAAACTCTGCCTTAAATTTCTGTAGTTATGTAGTGCTGATGCCCCAAAAGCGCCAGGCCCTGGTGGAGTACGAGGACATGAGTGGTTCCTGCAACGCTGTGACCTACGCCAATGACAACCAGATCTACATCGCTGGAAACCCTGCGTTTGTGAATTACTCGACCAGTCAGAAGATTTCCCGACCCGGCAATCCCGATGACTCCCGCAGTGTTAATAACGTTTTGCTATTCACAATCATGAATCCTATTTATCCCATCACCACGGTAATGCACTATCACTCACTCACATTTCTCTCTGTATGTTTATCTTATGAGCGTTAAGGGAAGTCGTCACATATTATAATTTATTTAATTTTTATCTTTATCCCGCAGGACGTGCTATAT